TCGTTACATTTTGCATGCATGCAATGGGCAATTGGGTAACATTTTTACTGTTCAAACCGAGGTTTACCTATTTTACCAATGTCACCCAATTTTTCCCAGTTCAGAGACACGACTGATTTCTTTTAACTCCAGATCAACTAAGACGACGCAACATTAGTCTAATATCATTCAAGCGGTTAAAAGAGCAGGCCTTTTTACCTATTTCACTGTCACAAGCAGCTTCTGGGCCCAAAATTTCATGGGGCTATCTTACCGGCTGAGAGCAAGTACATTTCCCATTTTATTTTCTCCGTTCGTTTCTCATTCCCACACCAAGCAAGCATCAATAATCAAAACCAATTTCTTAGTGTTGTGTAGACAATATGATGCTTGTATCAGAAAGCTCGACAGAAAAGTCCTCTCATGAAGCATAACAGCAAAATAACACGACCCTTGTAAGCACAAAGATATGAGGGGGGGTGGGTTTATATTATATGCACAGTACCTCCCCATCGCCTTCATACTCCTCTCCCGTTTCAGGCATTTTAAGGGCAAGGTTAATTTTTGGAAAAGTTCATGATGTTTGGCAAGTAGCTTTTGAAAGTGAAATTTTGTAATAGTCATTAAAAGAAATTTGTTAATGACTACTTATTTTGTATAAAGAAAATTCATCAAATATGCTTATTAGAATAATCTAATTTTTTTCAACTAGATATAGAACTTTTATGGTCACTAATTTTTTTGTATAAAGAAAAATCAATCAAATATGCTTATTAGAACAATCTAATTTCTTTAACAGGGCACTAAATCCAAGACAAAGAAAAAATTAAAAAATATAAATATGCTTACGAGAACAATCTAAATTTATGGTAAAGGAATCGTCTTGCATAGACAAAAGAACAAATTGTAACATAAGAATCCCAGCTAAATGAGGGAAAGCCAAAATTAATGACCTAGAGAAAGAACAAAGAAAGGCAACAAAACTGTTGGGAAAATGATTCTGAAAAAACGAAATTACACAAGTTCTTAGCATGCTTTGGTGCAAAAAAGAATAACTTCTAGTCAAGGAGTACTCGAGCTCCATCTGCAAAGAATTTTCTGTACTCATCGTCTTCAGCAGCATCAGCTGCAGAGTTGAAAGCCTGCAAATGCGCAACCAACTTAGCCTTCCTCTCCTCGTATGTGAGTTTTTTCAGGTTGTACCTGCACAAGACACACAAGATTAGTCTTTATAACTCACCTCTGCTCAGATAAAATGTAAAATTACCAGTGCAAATATTCAGTACCTTGAGGGCACCAAAGACACGATTGCCAGTTGTAGTCCTAATAAGACCAACATCAAGATGAGCACGTAAAGGCCTCCTAGTATCAGAAGGTTTGACGGAAAAGTCCTCTCCTGAAGCCTAACCAATAACAATATGTCACTATCCTTATAAGCACAAAAATATGAGAGACAGAAAGAGGGGGAGTCTGCATAGATACCTCTACATTGCCCTGATACTCCTCTTCCATTTCAAGCATTTTAAGGACTCGACGAGCCAAAAAAGACCAGTGCAATAAGACGGTTAAAAATAAATAAATAAATGCATGAATCACAAGGATTATGCAAAGTTGGAAGACATAGCGAAAAACAGAAATTTTGTCCAAGAGGTACCTGCAGCACAGTTTGTTAGACTTCAAGTCCATAGCGAGGCACCTGAGGTCGTATGCAGCAGCAAGAACAATATTGCCAGCAATATTAGCTGATGTTATTTGTGCAATAACATCTTTGTTTGTCTAATAATGAGGTTAAGTTTTATACTCAAGGAAACATTAGCAAAGAAATAAAGTTTCACAAAGTCCAAGCGACACAGAGTTCTATATCTTGACACTACAGTAATACAGCCTAAACTGAATTATATGCATAGAAAGTGAAATTATATCAATCAAAACAATTAAATGGTTTCTAAACTTCTCTAATTTATTGCCAGAGGAAAGACAAATTATTTAGATCCGTGTCTTCAAGAAAACATGATAACCATTCATCATTTATATCTACCTCAATAGAATAACCAGGAAGCACCTCAGTACCTTCAACTTTGTTGTTCTCTTGATTTAGCTCTTCAGGAAATGGAGCATCCTGTTCACACTCAATTTGAGAGCTCATTGATTTTCCTTTATTATTGTCTTGGTTTAGCTCTTCAGGAAATGGAGCATCCTGTTCGGACGCAATTTGAGAGCTGATTGATTCTCCTTCATCTTTCCTCATGCATCTGGGCCTGCTGATCCTGGAGACCACATACCCATAATCTGAATAATTGTGTTCCTTTTGATGCACAAGACAACCATCAAGTCTGTACTCATGCATCGTCCAACCATTTGTCCTCCTAGATCCTTTTTTCTTGGGCTCTTCTTCCTTCTTCTTCTCAATGAAGGAGAAGGCCCTCTTCGATCCAACATGTTTCTTCCCAGCGTAGATTTTCATGTCAGATTGACACCTCCAAGTACCAAACTTTGTGGCTCTCACAACCCTCGAAGAACAGCCATTTTTTGGGGTGCTCCAGTTCCTTAGTTTAGTGAAGAAGTAAAGAGTTTCCACTTCCCGATCATCAAAAATCTTCCTCCAAGAACTGTCACCTCCATAAATGTCACAATCAATAATTGCATTACAAGGGAGGGGTTTGCCATTCACCTTCTTGTACAAGTAATGCCAAATCAATTCTTGGTCTGTTGGGTTAAACTTGTACCCTGGTGGAATTATTTCCATTCTCCGCAATCAACTAGAAAATATTTGCAATCTATAGAATACGACGGGTCTCTTTCTTCTCCGCTCTTGGGTTTCACTGCATCAAGAAAAATAGTACAGTCAGTTATAGTCCAACAATAGAATATCAAGTCATCATAAGCCATTTAGAGCAAGCGATAGAACGTGTTTTACATATGGCCTTTGCGCTTCACACCAACACTGCATCATCCTGTAAGCTCTATTCACACAGTTATTATCATACAGTTCTAAAAATGCTTTAAAATATCATCCTTCTTTGTCAAAGCTCAAAAGTAAAACATTTTTCATGCCAACGACTACAAGCGTAAAGTAATAGTGCATCTTGCAAATTAGAATGAAGGTGGGAAAAAACTAGAAAATACTACACAGTCAAGAGCATTAAAACACAAATCGGACTGCTGAGGTAGACGACGTAGCATTCTTATTTCATTTTACTTGATAACAGAAATGGGCGAGAGGCATGAACTAAGGCACTACTTACTTACCTAAAGAAATGAAACCCACAATCCAAATAGAAGCAGAGAAGGTCCAAACGTTCAGCCCCGACTATTCAAATCGCTTTGAATCAATGAAGACAACGATGACCACCAAAGAACTTAGGGTTCAGAAAGCTAAGAGGAAATCTTAAGAAAGCAGAAGCGTGATGAGAGAGAGAGAGAGCGCGAATGCGAAGGTGATTGAAAACAAATGAAGAGTTGGCTGTGATTAATTATGGAAATAGAAACCGCCTTAATTCCCAATTGGATTTGACCGTTGGAGAGATTTTTGAGCTCCGATAGAAGATGAAGTTCTTGGCGGTAACGTGCTCTTCTTGGAAGCTAAATGGCGCCATTTTGAATTGGACCGTTGAAGCTTCCGCGCCCCCGCCCCTTCTCTCCGGTTCTGAATTTACGGTTGATGCCCTCGTCAACCCCCCCCCCCCCAAAAAAAAAACTCCTCTTCAAATTAGCAGCATTATCATTTCCCCCTTAATTTTTACTTCACTATAATAAAAGTATGTTGAGTAAAAAAATTTATTTATTACTGATGTTAGTTGGCTCAAAATTAACTCTTTTCAAATAAATTTGAGGATACAAATTTTTTGAAAGATTTCATTTTCAAGTTACTTTTAGTTAAGCTTACACTTTTCAAATAACTCGAATGATCATATAATTATACCAATAAAAATATTTTTTATACATTGCTTATATAATTTAAACACTGGAAATAAGCTTTACTTATGTGAAAATATGTAGCTTGTTTGCCGAATTATTTATACTATTACCATTTTTAAATAGTTTAAGTTATTATAAAATTAATATTTAATAGCCTTTTTTTTACCAGCTATGTAATAGCCATATTAATGGCACTTTTTCCAACCATATTAATGGTAACCGATAGTTATTTTTATGATTTTTTTTTCCCAACTATTTATATCATTTTTTGACTGAAGTCATTTTTGAGTTTCAAAAATATATAAAATTGTTTGAAAAAATAACCAGTTAAATGAGACAATATTAAATGAGGGATATATTTTAAATGAACTTGAAAATGTCATTTGCTTTTCATAAACTTCATAAAAATTCAAAATTATTTAAACGTATGGTTGTGACCAATATATCACATTGAAATAAAAGCGTGACGTCAGAAATTAGTACTAAAAATTGAAAGAAACCAATGTTATTAGAAGAATATTATAATTACTTTTGAAACAGAGTGATGCGGAACTTGCTGAAAATGTTATTCACGCACTACGTCCGCTCTTAATTATAAACGCTAATTGACTAATTTAAAAAAATTAAAAAAATAAATTAAGTTATTTATTTATAATAAATAGATATTATCTTTTTTAAAATATCCTTACTAATCAAGTATTGGTTAAAACTCCTATTATTAGAAGAATTATATTAGAAAAAATACATAAATATTAGAAACAAAATAGATTATGGTTTTAAATCTAAAACCAAAATAAAAATTAAATAAAATCTTATATTAAGAACCGGAAACAGTATTATATTTAATTTTTCAATTGTGTTCTTTTTAAGGCATCAGAATGAAGATTTTAAAGTATAAGAATAAAATGCCAACTGCCTCTTGGCGGTGTGGCACCTAGCGTGTGCGTGTGTTGGTAATGTGCGGGCCCCTCATGTAACAAAAAAAAAAAGTATAAGAATAAAATATTACAAGAGGCAAAGCTAATTTTTCGATCAGTTCATGACTTTTGGCGAGTAACTTTTTGAAAATAAAATTTCGTATAATGTGCAATATTAAGAAATTTATCAATGACTTGTTATTTTGCATAGAGATCATTTAATAAGTTTATGAGAACAACGTAAATTCTTCCAACTAGATATGGAAGTTTAATCAGATTTCAGGGCAGCAACAAGGCACTAAATGTATGGCAAAGGAATCGTCTAGCATAAACATGAAAACAAATCGTAAACATACCAATCCCAGCTAAACAAGAGATTAGTGACCTAGAGAAAGAACAAAGAAAGGCAACAAAACTGTTGGAAATATGATTCTGAAAAAACCAAATTACACAAGTTCTTAGCATGCTTTGGCGCAAAATAGAACAACTTCCAATCAAATAGTACTTGAGATCCATCTGCAAAGACCTTATCTTTACTCGTCATCCTCATCGTCTTCAGCAGCATCAACTGCAGAGTTGAGAGCTTGCAAACGAGCGATCAACTTAGCCTTCCTCTCCTCGTACGTAAGTTTCTTCAGGTTGTACCTGCACAAGACACACAAGATTAGTCCTTAGCAACTCAACTCTGTTCAAATACTCTGAAACTACCAGACATATGTCGCGGAATCAATAACAGTCTGAATTCTCATATATTGACAAAAATAAATATTCATGATCCGTTCAGAAAGAAATAAGAAAAAATATATAATTTTCGCACATAAACATAATCTTTTGTTAAACCTGAATGAATAATGAATGCATAAATGCATCAGGAACCTACCTCTTATGTTCCTTTGGTTGCTCCTTCTCGGACTTCTTTGCTGTGGGGTCAGCACGAATGGCAGCATGAACCTTTTTGTACAGCTCCTCAAGTCCATCGGCCTCTAATCCTCGCTTGGCATATTCACTAAAGTGCGACTCGTATTTCTCTGGTTCATCTTCCCTCAAAGTCTGCGAAAGGTGATCACATTCACATGTGTTGTCATAGGTCATAATATTTCCCATGATAGACAGAAAATTTGGCAGCAAATAAGCTCTTATACCATACCTTCATATATGCAGCAACATGACCACCAAAGATATATCTGCGATGAACCTCAGGATCAAGCTCTTTCTTATCCTTGTTAAAACCAGCAAACCTTTTGTCGCTGTGAGGGATATCTAATCCCCCATCCAATGCTCCCTGTAATCATCAAATTTACTAAGCTCCACAACCATGAAAATATCAATTCAAATAACAGTCATGCGCGTTAATCCAAACTTCTTTTAGAAAAGCGGCACATAAAAACAAGCGGAACTAGAGCACCCTTAGTACAGCCAGAACTCAAACTCTGAGATTCAGAACAAAATCGAGCTGGAACCTAATTTTTAGGTCAAAATAGGAGGTAGAACCAAAGTGCAAATATTCAGTACCTTGAGGGCGCCAAAGACACGATTGCCAGTTGTAGTCTTAATAAGACCAACATCAAGTAGAGCACGGAAAGGCCTCCTGGTATCAGAAGGTTCGACAGAAAAGTCCTCTCCTGAAGCCTGACCAATAACAATGTCACTATCCTCATAAACACAAAAATATGAGACAGAAAGGAGAGTTTGCCTAAATACCTCTACGTTGCCCTCATACTCCTCTTCCATTTCAAGCATTTTAAGGACTCGACGAGCCAAGAGAAGACCAGTGCAATAAGCTGGTCGCATTCAAAAATATATGAATCACAAAGGTAATAAGCAGTAGGCAGAAGTCATGAAAAATTAAAATTACATCTAAAAAGTACCTGCAGCATAGTTTGTAAGACCTACTTCAAGACCATAGCGTGGCAACTCATGAGCATATGCAGCAGCAAGAACAATATCACCAGCAATACTAGCGGATGATATTTGTGCAATAATATCTTTGTTTGTCTAATAATGAGGTTAAGGTTAATAATCAAATAAACATTTCCAAGAGTTTCCCATAATGTTCAACTGCTTTGTTCAAGGTAGTACATCTGTTTAGAGGACCAATTCTTTTTTTCACAGCAAGGGCAATTAAATATTTTCAATTATTATACTCAGTTGCCAGTAAGACATGTTTTACTATGTAGAACAATATCAACAGCAACGGTAGATGTCATTTGAGGAACAATATTCTTGTTTGTCACATAATGAGGTTAATGTTCATACTCAGACAAAGGTGAGCAAATGAAAGAAAGTTTAAATGAAATTTCTAAAGCACTTTGCTTGAGGTTGTATGTCTGATAAGAACACTATTTCTTTTTCTTTTTTTTTTACAGCAAGAGCATCAACATATTTTCACATTTTTTTCACTCAGTTGTTAGCAAGTCAAATATTAAGAGTATTGAGTATAGACCAATGGAAGGATACAAATCGAACAACAAAGCGATATTTGGGAGTGTTGTACTTGTTCTTGTCCTGATTGATCAAGCGAATCCTAGCTCGGTAATCGGTTTTTCCCTCTGCAGATGTTTTTTATCAAAGAGAAAAATCATACAAGAGGAAACAAATTATCAACCGCATAAAAAAGCAAAACTAGGACCAAGATAATAATCGATAGTACCTCTTCTTCTCTTAAACTTAACTTGATATCTCTTGAAGTACGCCTTTGATTTTTGAGCCTTAACGTATGCCTTCGTTGGAGAAATGAAAATAAAGCAAACTTCAATTCAAAGCCATTAATAAACAATCTTAAACGTCTCGGCCTCAGACTAAAATCCAACAAAACTATAAAATTTAAACCACAAACAGAGGATCTGTAACATTGAAATCTGACAAATGGAAAAGCATAGAACTAAAGGTGCCAAGCATCACATGCAATTCACCGCAAAAGAATGAATCAGAAGTAGACGTTTGCTGCGTAAAACTGAGTCAATGCAGCCACTTTATAACGTTAGCAAAGGAAGGTTCCACTAAAATTTCTTTTTCGTTAGTTTGCTAAGGATGCTACAGGAATTGACAAAGAACCCAAAACTAGCAAAAATGAATACGTATATAATACAATAGACTCGGTTTTGCCACAAATTATCCACCAAAGAGTCCAACTACAGCCCAGAAATACACCCCAATCTCCTCCATAAAGAAGCCAGAATAACCAAAAATGTATGTACACAAACGAACCCATAAAACCAACACAAGATACCTATTCTCATTATTAACCACTAAATAGTCCCACTAATACCCAACAACACACTGCCATTTCCCCTATAAAGAAAACCATAGAAGTCCACATTTGCACAGAAACGACGGTAAAGAATGCAAATTCCTCCAGAACCAGCTACACAATCATGCAAACTCAGGGAGATACGTACCATCGATGATCTGCTCGAAAGATACAGAAGAGTGGAAGACGGCTTTCGAGGCCAAGAGAGTGCGTAGATTTGGCACAATCAGGTTTATAAGGGAGGCTCGAAGACTGTGAAAATGTCATCTATTTCGTCGTAGGGTTTCGGGAGAAGTTTAATGGGCTAGGTCTTACTAGCCCAATTCACACTCTGTGTCGGCCCACTATCAATGTCAAAAGGAAATTTTTTCCAACTACTAGAAAATATCAATATATCATCATCAAATATTATGAAGTTTGAATCTGAATTACCGTATAAATCATATCGATGTTATTATAAAACATTATTTCTGTAACAAGGTTCTTTTTCCTTAATTTAATATGGGGATCAAATCTAGTTATTATTTTTTCGGTAAAAAAATCTAGTTGTTATTTAAAAAGAAATAAGTTAGTACTATAGCTTTTTTTTTCGCGGGAATAACTGTTATTTTACAAAATTTCAATATTTTCTCACCTATTTTGGAATAATAAAAAATAAATATATAGATCTCATAAAAATCTTAGGGGGAATCCCAATTAAATCCAATTGAAATATCAAAATTCAAGTTAAGACCTGTACTTTTAACAAATCCCTAATTAAGTCAAGAAGTCTTATTAAAATTTTTTTAATGTTGTTAAAAAACTAAAATATCCCTTTAAATTAGCAAATTGGTAATTGTACCAATTAATTTATGACCTAGTTTCTTTTTTTTTTGTTTGAGATGCTGTCAGATGATGTATCAGCTTCATGCATTCCTGCAGCAGTATCCATATATTGTTAAAAGGCTAAAATGCATGTTTTTTTGTATAAATTTATATCAAGCAGTTCATATTATTTCATCTATCTCATCAAATCTTGAAAAAATTATTTAGATCTTCAGTACAAGTTCATATTAATTATTGGTATGAATTTTAGTAATGAGATTATAAGATATAACATGATAAGAACATTTATATGACAGATACAGCAAAGCAATTAAGAAAGAAATGAAAATTTTGATGCTAAAATCTATCAATACATTAAGATTCTGATTTTTTAACTGTAAGGAAAAAAAATTCTTCAAAAAATTATTAATTTAATGGAGTTGGAATGAGGCAACTAAAAGGTTCATGTTCCCATTATGGAAAAAAAAAGTCTATATTCCCATAAATTTCTCATCAATATATTAGAGTTAGTACAAAATGTTATATTACGCATTGTCGATTTTCTGATTTTAGTATTTTCAAATTTTCTTATGCAAGACTTTTGTTTTATAAATAAATACTATATAATGTCAAGTTTTCATGGATTAATTTTTTGCTTTCAAAATAATATTATTTTAAATTATAAAAGGACATTTTAGTCTTTTGATAATATTCAAAAATCTCTAATAAGGCCTCTTAGCCTAATTAAGAATTTGTTAAAAAATATAGGTCTTAATTTGAATTTTAATATTTTAAGAGGATTAAATTAGGATTTTCCCAAAATCTTAATTCAAATCATAAATATTAGCAAAAACTATTATTCACATTTTCAAAACTACATTAAATCAAACTATTATTCTAGATGCTAATAAACCATTGTCCAAACGTAATGCATGTCATTAATGATTTTTCAAACTTCATTGTTTCAAACATGACATGAGTGATAAAGATATAATGCATTTACATGCATCATAGGTTCTTAGAAAGAGAAGAGAAAAGATGGAAGGTACAGTGATATGCATGCAAAACAAAAACAAAAAAATCTGTACGATGGAAAGAGATAGATATGCAAGAACGATAAGCATTTACGCGACATGCTCTAAATATATACTTTTTGTTGATAATATATTTTTAACAATGAAAGCAAAAAATGTTAACTCTAAATTTGAAGAAAAGCTTGAGAGATTTTCACCTAAGTAAGAGTAAGACAAATTATATACTATCTCTATCTCTAGTTTTTAGTACTACCTCTGGTTCTAATTATAAGAGCCAGTTAACTAATTTGAGGAGATTAAGGAAGTAAGTTAAGTTAGTTATTTGTCCTAAATATGTGTTGTCTTTCCTAAAATATCCTTACTAATCAAGTACATTGACTAGAACTATCATTGTTAGAAGGACTACTTTGGAAAAAATGTATAATATGAGAGACAAAGTGGATTGGGATCTTATATTTAGGGCCAAAATTAAAATCAAATAGGGTCTTATATTAAGAACCAGAGGTAGTATAACAATTAGTTTGACATTTATTTTAATTTTAAATATGATGTTCTAATTCATTTGATCTCTCATTTTTATTTAGTTTTTTTCAAAGTAGTCATTATAATAGTTGTACATGTTAAATATTTCATCAAATAGTATTTCTAGCTAACACACATGATTAGCAAGAGTATTTTAGAAAAGACAACATTTATTTATTACAAATAACTAATTTAATTAATTTTTTTAATATACTCAAATTAGTGGACTAGTCTTTGTATAAGAGCCGAAAATAATATATAAAAAGCTTCCTAAAAGGTACGTCATTTATTTATTTATTTATTACCGCGATAAAAGTTACGTTAAAAGTAACTTAAAGGTTAAAATGTCACATCACAACATGTCACAAGTAACAAAGTTTAGATATTCGGAAGTTTTTAGGGTTAAGGTGCACTCAGCACCCTGAACTATTTATCCAGGTGCGTTCAGTGGCCTAAAGTAATTTAGGTGCATCCAGTATCCTAAACTAATTAAAATGGTGCGTCCATATCCCAAGCTAACAGAAATGTTATGTTTAACTGTTACTTTCCTGACTCAACTTAAAGTTGACCCTAGATATTCTAAATGGGAGACATATGGACATTTGATATGTATTATTCTTATTCAAAATTGAATTTATTTCCTTCCTCTTCTTCTAAATAAATTGACTTTTGAGTAAGAATAATACACATCAGGTGCCCATGTGTCTACCATGTAGAATATCTGGGGTCAACTTTAAGCTGAATCAGGAAAGTAACAGTTAAACATAACATTTCTGTTAGCCTGGGATATGGACGCACCATTTTAATTAGTTTAGAACATTGGATGCACCTAAAATTACTTTAGACCACTGGACGCACCTTGGTAAATAGTTCGGGATGCTGGGCGCACCTTAACCCAAGTTTTTATACAAAATGACAGTAGAATTGATGGAAACGTTACGTATAGAACAAGCTAAATGATTCAAATGGAGAAAAATTGTATGAATGATTTGTAATGGGAAAGAACCTAATAAATTTAAAGAGAAGTTTTGTTAGATTGCTGCGTGACCTATAATGCTACATGGCAACACATGTTAAGAACAATAATAACATAAGATCAAGATTATGGAGATTACTAATTTAATACTACTTCCGGTTTTAATTATAAAACCTTGTTTGTCTGTAGACTATAAATAAAATCTTATAAATAGGATCGGAGGTAGTATGTTGAAATGAATACAAGAAAATTAAAAAAAAACATAAGATTCATTATCAACATTTATCAATAAAGAAGAGTTGGCATGACATCTATTAAAAGAGGAGTAATAAAAAAAAAATGTTTTACATTGGTTTGAACATACAAAGAACAAGGGTGATTAGTGGTATTAGTGAAAAGAGTGGGATAAACAATTGAGTTTTGTGAAGATAAATCATTTGTTAGACATAACATTTTGTCGAACCATATATCAAAATATATGACTATTGATAGAGTATAATAATATCATGCAACTAATATAGTTGACCATTCCTACTGAAATAACACTGCTTGTTGTTATAGAAGATATAAGAATATTTTTAAAAGATTGAATGAATTTTATTTTTTAAATATGAAATCTAATATTAATGTTAGATTCAAGCGTTGTGAGTCACACACATGGAGGAGCCCTCTTAATGTCGCTTCTTTCCTTAATAAATTTTAAACTTATGATTTGGTTTAACATATATGAAGCCGCCTCCGCTAGACAAGAAAACATGACCTCAACAGAGAATGTACACCTTCATAGCTTTACCTATCTATGCAAAGATATGCTGGAAGGACTTGCGAAAATGCTTATGTATGATTTTACAAGAATTATACTATCTCCAGTCCTTAATATAAGACCTTATTTGATTTTTATTTTAGTCCTAAATATAATATCTTAGTCAAATTTGTCTATCATGTTTATACATTCTTTTCCAATATAATCCTTCTAGTAATAGTAATTCTAACTAATACACTTGATCAATAAGGATATTTTAAAAAACACAACACTTATTTATTACAAATAACTAACTTAACTTATTTTTTTAATCTCATCAAATTAGTTAACTAGCTCTTATAATTAAAACAAGAGGTAGTACATGATCTAAGATGAAGGACCTATCACCAAAAAATAAAGGACTAGGCATAAATTCATATACCCTATATCAATGAGTATATCACAGTCACAATGAACAAAAAAGGAACATTTTTAATACCCAATTAAGTACATAATCCGAAAAACACCCACAAGAGTCTGAGACATTTTTGTGTAAATATCTTTCCAAACAAAATAATGTTAAAACATAATTGTATTTGCAAATCGTTATCTTGAAAGCTTAAGAATTTAATCGGTATTCCCAGTTAGGGTTGATACTCATTATCTCTACTTCCTTTATCTGAACATCAGCTCTATAACACTTAAATACCTCTACTGCTGCAGCTGATAGGCGAACACAGCCATTCATATAAAGAATTGATAGACTCTTGCACCCATTCTGTATAGATCGCAACCCAAGATCACAAAGATTGCGACATCGGTTAACGTGTAGTCTCTCCAGATTCTGACAATTTAATCCGATCGCTTGCCAGCCGCATAGCTTGACCTCATGACACAAGGCTAAGTTCCATTCCTGAAGTAATGGACATCCCTTGGTGATCGCAACAATCGATGCATCACAAACAGATCTGCACATCCGAAAGTCGAGGAATTTGAGGTTTGAGGAAAATCCTATTCCTGCTGTGGGATCTCCAAAAGGAGACCAACATAAACAGGAAACATTTAAATACTCTAGTCCACCACCACTAACAATTCCCTTTATCCCATCTGGGATAAGCTTACAAGAATCAGCTTCCAGATAAGCTAGAGTTTCTGAGCACCCTTCAAAGCCCACACCAGCAATACCATCACAGTTTGATATCTTAACTACCTGAAGTTGGCGGCAGTTCCGCGTGAGAGCTTTTACTCCTTTGTCAGATATTTGTGAACAATATGACAGGTTCACATGTTTGAAGGACAAGCAACCGTTAGCTAAAGTCTCCAATCCATTATCAGTAATTTTGAGGCAACGATAGAGACTAATTGCCTTCAATAAGGGGCAACCAGAAGCAATCAAGGATAGACCATAGTCAGTAACATTGGAACAACAATCCAGATGAAGATTCTGTAAATTTGAACCATAGCTTTGCACGTAGGTCAATCCTGAATCAGTTATGTCTGTACAACCAGATAAATATAATGATTCTAAATGTTGAAAGCGGCTTAGCAACCGATGGAGATGGAATGCTTCAACACAAAAAGGCTTCATAGATAATGAGGGAGGACCAAATATGGTGAATGAACATTGAAACTGCAAGGATCGACGGTTCAAATTTTGAATCTGGAGCCACCGCCGGCAAGTCAGGCCAAATGATTGACGATCGATGCTACTATTTAAACAATGAAAAATAAAGGCAAGGCAATCATCTGGGAGGTGCATGATTGATGTAAAACCTTCCATGCCAACCCCTCTAAGATTCCTCTGAATAAGGCTGTAATGATCGAATCTTTACAGTAAATTTCCTATGAGAACTAGATGAACTGGCTGAGTTAAATCCACAAAGTACCGGTGAGTCTGCATATCCGTAGCCAATAAGAACCCCACATTTGCGGCAAAGCAGTTTAGTTCTTGAATGATGACCACAAAAAGAGATAGGAAAACAATTTATTTTATCAACCTGTGTGAACCGGCTGAGATCAACTGAATCAAATGAGATTGATCCTTTCTTTATGGACTTTTTATATTCAGAACCTATGTCAGATGTGATTCGATTTGAGGATGTCAAGTTCAGAGGATATCCACAAGAGCCACAACTGCACAGTGGACGACCAAATATCAGGATAAGGATGATATGAATCATAGAATAAAACCCCCAGAGAAAAGAAAAAACTTGGGCACTTGTGCCTCATATGCTTAACATATTTTTTTGAACCAAATTTGTGACGTATTTTTTACCTATGATAGCCTGTAACTAGTTCTTGCTATTAACATTTTAAATTTTTTAAAAATTTAAAATTCTAGAAAAGCATGTTAAGTATATAAGGTTAAACCGTTTTATTTTCTCCCAAAAAAGGTATCCTACAAAAAATAAAAATAAATGGTAGAAATATTATTTCAAAAGGGTAAAAATAGCAGCATTCTGAATTTCATCCGCGCACAATACTTGGATAACACAGATTCTTTCCTTACATTTTATACAAATTCGAATTCTAAATTTGCAGAACAGAATGCAGGACAGTTCAATAATGGTTAAACTGGACAAGAAAATTTATCTTGAGTTAATTAGGAGAGGGTAAAGAATAAAAGGCCAAACCAAGACCCTGACCCCCAGCAACTATAAAAGCATGCCAAAAACAGGGGGAAACAAGAGAAAACAGATCAGCGCCATTACTGTTTCTTCTTTTAGCATGGGTCCACTTTATCTAAATACATTTTTTTTTTCATGCAGAAGACAGTAAGGAGAAGACCGTAAGGTCATGTTTGGTGAGACCACCCTCAGGTAGAAAAATGATGAGGGAATGAGGACGTAAATGGAAATCTTCCTCATAAATCTAATAGAAAAAGTAACAAAAAAGAACAAGCACTGTTGTGTAATAATAACATTAATAGAATAGACATTGTAAAAATTATTTAGGACTTACTTTTCATTCTTGGCATTATCCTTCCCTCTCCATTTGGGTACCAAACATTTCCTAAATTCGTATAATAATAGCAAGAAACATTCACAACCAATTATATACACTGAAAACTAGATATGTAACCTTTTCTCCGCAGCTTCACTTGCCCTAAAGCCAACTTTGTATACTTCTTCCACCACACTCTAGAAAAGCCAGGTGAAAGGTAGGAAAGGATTTAACGAAAATTAAAAGCTTCTTAAACACCCCCACCCTCCAAAGATGAAACTCACTGGCCATGCTTGCTTAGCTCTTCTCAGTAGCTTTACTCTCAATCGTGATATGAAACCAATCTAATATTCACATCTAATAGACTCAAACAATATTCACCAGCTTGGTCACAGCCTATCCAAATGCTCTTCTAAAACGTTTATTTTCCTAGTAACTGCTTTGACCCTAGTCTTCAATCTATGTGGCAAAAACTAATAACATATGATTCTCTATATTTTCTATACCTTTGCAGTCAGATAATTTGGGAAATCCTCATGAAATAATCACATAAAATGAATGATATGGTTAAATCCGTGTTCCTAACACAACTACAGCTTTCTGTTTCAGCCTTTACAAAATAAATTAACAGACATTCAAGATGATATAAACTTAAAAAGAAAGAAGGAAGGAAGGAAGGAAGGAAAGGAAAAAGGAAACAAAAGAGCCAATATTTCTCTTGATCACATCAACTAAAGGAGCATAGTAACCCAGGGGAACAAAAGACGACCATTTAACCCCACAACGGATTATTTTCTTCGTTTATGATTTTATCAGACAATAAGCAGATCAAACTAATCGAATCAAACCATGCTCAAGTTACCCGTATCCTTTCATCTTTTTAAATAACAGTTGTTGATGTAGTTAGCAGAAAGAATAGAAAAAACAGTGATTATGTGGCTATTTAAATACTGAAGACTTAAGTCACGTTACTAAGATATAAAAAACAGGCATGCAGAAGAAGCATACAGTAAGATGTAGGAACAATAGCTTATATGGCTTTGTATGATACCATGATATCTATGCCTTGTCCCTTGCTAAAGCTGCAAACTGATGCATGAGCTTCATTAAATATTACGCCCATGTAGTAGGGCATAATTGCACCTACAGCAAGAAGACATTGGCCCAAAAACTTTTATTCCACATATCCACAGTACACCAAGCAGTTAAAATTTCTTTAACAAAGCCATATAATGCCACTTAATAGGTCGTCTTCTTTTTTTTTTTTTGGGCAGAAAATTGCCATAATCTCTGAGTGTATATTTATATCTGAATGGTTGATTTGTACCACCAAAATGACTATGAAACTTTCCAGTGACCTTCAATTCTACAAATTATTTAACTTCTCAGTTTCAAGATAAATTGTAAATAGATTAAATCATTGTCAAGAATCATGAAGTTCACATTGAATTGAATGTTGATTGTCCTAAAATTATATTCAGGTTTTCATCTTTAGCACCTAGCTTTTTTGTGCGACTCTGATAGTGACAAGTCTTACCAAGTTTTGCATGTCGAATTATCAGCATTTCCAGCAAAATCATATAGTAATTGAGACAATAAATTATAAGCCATTACAACAAATCATTAAGATGCTAATCTCGTCTCCTTCTTCAGTATTTTCATCTTATTTTCTTGGTTTTCTTGACAAAGCACCCTTTCAACCAAATCCAATCACCCTAAATGTTTATGCCCTGCTACTTCCACTAAAACACTTTAAGTTAAATTGAATGTTTCCATTTTCCAACTTCCAAACCTTCAAAATCCATAAGAACCCAAACCCCACCAAGGGTCAACCATAGGAAGACGTCCACATCAGAAGAGACCAGAAGCACAAACATGAATCACCAGCATCATTAAACATAAAAGGAAAAACAAAAAATAAATCTGCTTCATGTCCCTATGATACGCAGATGAATATGAGTAAAGTAACAATGACGTAGGTGTAAAGTAGCTCTCACGTGCTTGGGTGGCACTAAAGCCACTGTCATGTTTGTAGAAGGCTTCAAGGGAGGCATTGAATAATAGCTCAGGCCATTTGAAAGTATCTTGGAAACTGTCTGATGAGCTTTTGCCTAAACTAAAGAGCATGACATGTATTCAATGACTAAACCAAGATAAGTTAACTAGGTAGAAGTATCACTAGGAGAGATGAGAATAAGACAATAATTTAATATGTTTATGAAGCAAAAACATGAAATACAATACACAATATGGATAGGTAGGCATTCTAAGAATCTTACACTATTATCCTCCTAAAGACATTTACCAAATAAAAATGTATTAACCAAAATTATTCATGTATAGCAGAAAATATAGGAAAGAATTTTCCATGTCTTATCAAGCTGAGGTTCTTAGTCTCTCTTTCTACTTTGTTTTTTTTGGGATAATTTTCCTTCTTCTTAGGTACAATTATGTCCAACTCTTGTTCAGTGCAAGTTCAACACATGGTCAGTAGGTGCTCAAGATGTGCTGGACAACTATCAACAATGTGTTGCGAAGACAGTAGTGTTGGGAATAGCTGGGTAACTTAATAAGCTGACAGAGTGGTCAACGAAAATCAGCGTTCATTTTGAAAAGCAAACAGTCCAATCAGGTGATGAAAATATCCAGTCAGCTAGGTAAAATAGCTACAACGGGATGTCAATTCTGTGAATAAGCAGTCAACCAGGTACATGGAACCAGTTGAGCAGATGCCATAACTGGTCAATAGGGTACCTGGCGAGTGTATGTGTCAAAAAGTGACTAATAATTTCAAATTTCAAAGCGATTTCTTGGTCTTGGTGGCTTTAGTTCCAGAGTCATGTCCTTTTAAGGAAACATCATGGTGACTCATTATATGGACAGACACATAACATTCAAAATAAAATTTAAATGAGAGGTGTTGGCTCGACATTCAATATAAAGGATTGGCTCGCCATACGACTCTGATTTTCTCTGATCCATGATTTTATTCTAGAAGGAGTGAGATCCATGACTTGCCAAGTATTCTCTCCCAAATGCGTTGGATAACTTCCAGAAGTTTATCATCAAATAAATGGCATTAGGTATGATTTGAAATGTCAACCCCAGGGTAATGCATAAATTATTTACCTTGGCCATAATAACACGTTCACAAATCAGTCAATGCATATACAAATATCTACATTACAATTTTTGACAAATATACAAATAAATTGCTACCAGGAATCAAACCCCATAAAAATTCCACAAATTCTACACCCCATTGAAGGATAATTGCTTAACAAAAGGCTGAAAATTCACCAGCTTTACCCGATAACAAGCTGCTTCGGGTAAAACCTATGAGCCAGATCAAAAACGGGAAGAAATAGAAAACGAGAATTACCTGTACGAGACGTCAGCTGGTGACATCCTCCCTTATTATGATAGTGATCAGGACATGCCATCATGGTCCATCGAGTTCGCGATTAGGTGCAGCAAATTGCCAGGGGAAAAAGACCTCCAAGTGGGAAAAAAACAAACACAGAAATCAGAGTAGACTCCGAGACGATGAGACTCCGAGATGAGAGATGGTGATTATTCGATGCCCCTCACTCCCTTCTCTTAGTGTCTCTCTTCTTCCTTCTTCGATGCTTCTTACGCAGATTGGAGATTTATAAACCAATCAAACCAGCTGATTTGGTTTTCCATGAACTCCTTGATTTGGTCCTTTAATGAGAAAAATACTAAACAACATCTGTCGTAACTATTCCCGTTTGACCATATGCCGAATCTGTCAGAGACAAACTTTTCCTTTCCCTATCTGCCGTAGACATCATTAATTATTTGACTGGGTGGGTGTTTGAGAAAATAAATCACTTAAGATTTTCAAAATTTTATTTATATACAAATTTAGTTTGGAATTTTATTTAAGAAAAACTAATATTTCTATCTTTAAATTTTGTCTCATTTGATACTCAACACTTAAATTTTAATGTAATACAACTCAATTTGTATAGTTTTGATTCGATTATAATTCAGTCCTTAAATTTTAACTCATTATATTTAAAATTTTAATCATTCAAAGCTTTAATCCTTATATTTTAAAAGATTAAATTATATAGTTAATTAAATTCTGGGGAGCAAAAAAGTTTTAAATGGTTAAAACTATAATAACTGAGTTATAGTGAGGTAGAATTCTAAGAATAAATTAGATTGGGCCATAATTATAGAGATTAAAAAAATTAATTTTTTATTTTATTTAACAATTAAGTATATAATTTATCCATAAATTATATAAAAATTTAAAATATTTAATAGTGAATTTAATAGTTAAAAAATATTTATATATAATCTAGGAAAAATTAATATCGCGGTACTTATTATAAGGAATGCCATATTGTTTTTTCTTATAATTTATTAATTTATATAATTTTATTTATCCCATTGATTTTGATTATTTGAAATTGTAACATAACAGAATCCAGCATCACATGCTAAGGAACTATAAATTTGATTCCAGGTCAAAAAGCAAATGTTTCCAAGAAGAATGCAATGACTTGGATTGCTACAAAAAGCTGAGTATCCCTTGCTTCCATATGTGAGTAGTATCATTTTTTCACATCAGAATTCTACTTTTTTTTTTTGTTGGCTTGTCATCTTTTAGGTTATTTAGGAAGTGTTTGGATAAAAATAAAATTATGATTTTAAAAATACTTTTACGGTATACGAAATAAATATGTAGAAGAGTTTATCTCGAGTTATGAAAAAAATGTTTTTTAAAAAACACTTCTTGAACAATCCAAACACCCCCTAGGGTCTATATGGTCATTTTAGGTGATTTGAAAATAGTTTTGGCACTTACTTTGTAGGGGTGTTTAGGTAGAAAATAAATCATGATTTTAAAAGTGTTTTTACAGTTTACGAAGTAAATATGTGAAGAAATTTACTTCGTTTTGTGAAAAAATGCTTTTTAAAAGTACTTTTTAAGGTTACCAAACATCTCCGTAGTAGTATATGGTCATCTCATCCTCTACTAGTATTTATATCTTATTTTGCACTATTAAGATTCGAGTTGTGTCATTTTAAATTTTTTTTCCCCCATTTCACTGCTCATGTTGTTATATATTGTTGTTTTTGGTTGGGCTCCTATTTTTATATGAATTTATCATGCAAAGTGATTAAATAGTTTACTTGCTTAATATAATAATGTATTTAATTTTTATTTTGATCATAAACAAAAGACCTCAATCTACTTTATTTCTTATATATATATTTTTTTAAAGTAGTTACTGTAACAATGATAGTTGTAACCAATACACCTGATTAGCAAAGATATTTTAGGGAAGACAACACCTGTTTATTACAAATAACTAAACTAATTTTTTTAATCTATTCAAATTAATCAACTAGTTCTTATATTAAAAATTGGAGGTAGTATACTTTTACATAGTTTTTTGCAAAATTGTCTTTTTATTGGAGAAACAAAGAATGCAATGACCAGAAAATTTATCTACAGCTGGGTTCAGAGGGAGAAAGTTCCATGATGTGGTGATAAATTCTATTTTCATTACATCAAACTTGACAAAATAACGATTGTTTAATTAGGCGTAAATTCCCATGTTTAAACAGAAAAGGGAGTGACATTCACCGATTTGTGGGCTCCCGATAAAAGATCAATTATCCATCAAAAGTCAAAACCTTGGTTTTGACATGCGCGCGCTACACCCATATTTTGATTAAATTAAAAATTAATTAGGAAACTATAGACAAAATCCAATTTCTTTATTATAAAAAGTCAACTTGATTTAAACCCAAATAAAAAGATTACAACTGGTCAATTTGGGCAAAACTCAAATAAATTAATGAAGTAACATGGTAGAAATAAGAAAGCAAAATATTCTAACAATAGAGACAAATGAAAGAGCTAGCGAAATGAGAAAAAAAGAAAAGAAACAAACAACATCACAAAAGATAAAACAGGTTTGGATCTCATTGTAGTTCCCAGTTCTTGCCGACAGATGTGAGACAAGCCACGGCTTAAGGCTATGTTTGGATTGTTATCAGAGAAGCCAAAAGCATCTAGGAAAGGGTGTAACTGAGGTTACTGGCTTATTTGAGTAAAAATGATTGTTTGGATGTGCTGCTTTTTGAATTGACTTATAAGCAAAAGTTTCTTATTTTTGAACACTGCCTAGAGGAGCTTCTCCACCATTTCAAAATGCAATTTAGCGTTAAATAAGCATTAATGGGTATTCAATTTCTCTCACCTAGCATTTCCACCCAACCCTCTTCAAAGCAGATCTTTCCTTCAGAACACCTCGATCGAGCAACAAACAGGGAGGTTCCTCTTGCTCTGCATTCGGCCTTCTACCTCCGTCACTCTTGGCACTCTCTCCATCCGTCTCTCTCGCCGGCTTCTCCGTCCATCGCTGTCGCTTGCGTCTCCATTCGTCGCTCTCTCCGGCATCTCCATCCAAAAGTGTCTAGGAAAGGGTGTAACTGAGGTTACTGGCTTATTTGAGTAAAAATGATTGTTTGGATGTGCTGCTTTTTGAACTGACTTATAAGCAAAAGTTGCTTATTTTTGAACACTGCCTAGAGGAGCTTCTCCACCGTTTCAAAATGCAATTTACCGTTAAATAAGCATTAATGGGTATTCAATTTCTCTCACCTATCGTTTCCACCCAACCCTCTTTAAAGCAAATCTTTCCTTAGAACACCTCGATCGAGCAACAAACAGGGAGGCTCCTCTTGCTCTGCATTCGGCCTTCTACCTCCGTCACTCTCGGCACTCTCTCCGTTCGTCTCTCTCGCCGACTTCTCCGTCCATCGCTGTCACTTGCATCTCCGTCTGTCGCTCTCTCCGGCATCTCCATCCATGGGTCTCAGCAGTTGTTCTCCCTCCATCACTGTCGTGACAGATCTGTGTCATTTTCCTTACCATCACCGACATGTGTGTGCAAAGAATCGCCGCTGTCTTCCTCCGCCACTCAGGGTACCATGGTTGCTTTTCTTTTCTTTTCCCTGTTCGACTTTCAGATCCTCCGTTCTCCTTGTCGGTGCTGACCGTGGCTGAAGGAGGCGGGGGTTTTTTTTTCCCTTTCTCCTCTGGTTGTAGCTGCTGTTGTGTGTGTAAAGAATCATCTTCTGTGTTTTTTCCCCCTTCTCCTGCAGACGTTCTATTTTTACTGAAGCATATGATAGTTTGGCATTAATTTTGTTAGATATTATGCTTTAATGCTTAATTTTGTTTGAGATTGAAGAAGTTAATGTTTGGTTGGATTTTTTGGGTTAAAGGAAAAGAGTATTTTTGGTGCTATGGGTATATGTATCATGATTGAGAATGGGTGGCTGTTGGCGGCCACATCGTTTCCTTCGAGAGCTTCTTTGATCTCATTGGCAAGTGCTGGTGTGCCCTTGTCGAAGTCCGTTGCCACGCCAATCATTTCTCTTCCACGTATGGATGCTTAGCAATATGCACCTTTCCTTAGAGTTGCATCATACCACCTCTGATCCTAAATATCAGGGTTAGTTGACTAATTTAAGAAAATTAAAGATTAAATTAGTTATTTGTAATAAATAAGTATTGTCTTTCCTAAGATATCCTTACTAATTAAATGTATTGACCATAACTACTATTATTAGAAGAACTACTTTAAAAAAATACATAAATACTCCTCCGGTCCTAATTATAAGACCCAATTGACTTATTTGAGGAGATTAAGGAAGTAAGTTAAGTTGGTTATTTATAATAAATAAGTGTTGTCATTCCTAAAATATCCTTGCTAATTAAGTATATTGACTAAAACTATCATTATTAGAAGGATTATCTTGGAAAAAAATGCATAAATATAAGAGACAAAATGGATTGGGTCTTATAATTAGGACCAAATAAAAAGTCAAATTGGGTCTTATAATAAGGACCGGAGGAGTATGATAAACAAAGTGGATTGGGGTTTTATATTTAAAACAAAAATAAAAATCAAATGAGATTTTATATTAAAAACTGGTAGTACAAAGGAACTGGCATGCTTGCTTCCAAGACGTAAGGCCACTCTAAGGTGTTAAGTCAACCCATTATCTCACGAGGGCTACACCCTTTGAGGTGTTAAAAGGTCCTCTAGTACAAAACATCATAGATACGCACCCACGACAAAAATAAACACGAAATCTTAAGAGAATTAGTGATAAATCATGACAACATACAAAATGGCTATGTGCAACCATTAATACTATTGAGCCATGAACGGACGTGCCAAGAAAGATGAGAAACACCATAAATGTCTTAAGCAATTGAAGAGAAGGGCAACTCCAGTCTTCAAACCATGTCAATAAAATCCATATTTTGATTAAAGTTAATTATGAGTTTTTTTTTCCTATTTCATTTAATAATGAAAGTGCCATCAAATCCTAGGAGAGGCATCACCATAGTATAATGAAGCTGGGAGATTCTACCTATTGGGCTAGAAAGAAAGGGTTTGCTTGTCATGTTCCTGTGTCCCTAGGGACAGATTGTAGTGGATGATCAAGTGCTAGGTACTCTGTCTTTAGATCGTAGGTGAGTCTAACTCTTTTTCTAAAATTTAGCTTTTGCCACCAAAAAAAAGAAAAAAGAAAGTGCCATCAAACTTGTCCTGCATTTCATGAATCAAAGTCATTTTTTAGGCTTATTTGGATTCGCTTTTGCAATTCTAAAGAACTCTTAAATGTTAGTTTAAAAGCCTAAAATCTAACTTGAGTTTCAAAATTATGTCTGGATTTGCATAGGAGTCAAATGAATTTTTTTCCCTAGAGTCATGTGAGACCTAAAGCCACATTTTGAAGTTACAAAAACTGAATGATGTAATAAATTATATTACACTAGATAACTTTTATTTTAATGAGTATATTTAAATTGGTATTTGAAAGCCTCAAATTTTAATTCACTCCCTAAAAAAGTTAGTCCGAGAAAAAAATGAATGTTGGGATTGACAATAAAGCAGCCACGTTAAACTAACTTTTTTCTTTTGAATAAAAGCTTATTTAAACCCAAATTAATATTACACTAATTCATTTACTTTAAATTCAGTTCATAAAGCTAAAAAAATCACAACTTTTACACGTCTTTGCCGCGTATCCTGGTGCCTGCGGTCGGGTGCTGAGGCGATTCTCCCGTTGGCGGGAAAATAGATCGAGACCCCACAGCCCCTTCGGTTGTCTTTTAGGCTGTTTTCCACAGCGTCTCTCCTGGGCAATGAAACGACGGCATTTCACTAAAACTAGGATAACCCAATCCGTTGATTCCTGGGGAAGATGACGGTATAGATTACGTGTTGCATTGTTTAATCGCCGCCCTCCGTTGAAGCATGAGGAACGGTGACAAATTGTTCTTAATTAAAGCCCCCGATTTTCCCTCCTTTTCCTCCCGCTTGCTCCCACTCGCCTGCCGATCCTTTCACCTTCCCTCTCCTCGTATTCTCTTGCTTGAAACCCCTCCCTCTGCTTTCGTACAATAGCCCGAACATTAGTGTTAACCGAGCTGAAGGATTCTGCTGGAGGATTACTAATACCGTGAAGTACTTTATACTTCGGTGGTGTTAAACTTAATGTGATGATTCAGGCAAATCGTTCAGGTTATTCTGGGGCTCGCCATGCGCTAGCTTTCTCCTCAGGCCATTTTAATGATTTTTACTGACGTTGAAGATAGAACTCTAATATTCTGACGAAATAGAAGAAGCCGAGATCTCAGATAACCGAAAGATCAAAGCTTTCTTCAATATCTAAAGGTTTTATGTTGCCACGAAGAGGGTCACAAGTTTTCCCACTTACTCTATCTCAATCTTGAGAGGCGTCGGATTTGGTTACATGATTGTGAGCTCTTAGGCGGGTCCTGCATGACCTGTTGACAAGATTTAGTCAACGAAAATGGCTCCCTCGTCTCCAATCGATGCTGATTCACTCCCCTCGTCAATGGCACCCCAAAACATGGAAACCAACATTCAGGTGAGTTTTCTCATTCTCTCTTTTCCTCCTACCTGCTGTTACGAGAGAAAGCCCACGTAAGTAGAGCTGGGTTCGACTCACTTTTTGATATGATGATGAAATCTATTATGAGAAATTGGAGACAGAATATCCCTTAACATTTCCCAAAATTGAAGCATTGCTTTTTGTTAAAAAGAACTTTTACTGAATCCAATATTTTCCTTGCTACTAGCCTGTGCTTCAATTGCAACTGGGAGTATTTTGCGGTCTTGAATCGATATGCATATCATTAGATGAGTGAGACCTATTCTTATTTCAATTACATTTTACTGGAATGGGGAGGATTGAAAATGAACAAATGTCATATGTGGAAGCAAGTATTATTTTTCGTTTGGTTTGACATCCCAATCTACTGCCGGAAGAGTGCTGATGCGCTTCTCATTTTTTTTTTTTTGGCCTGAGTTGCGCTTCTCATTTGAGTTCTATCTACAGCCGTTCTATGTTCTTCACAAAGCTTCATCTCGAGGAAAAGATAGAAAATCAGCGGGACAGGGAAAAAAGAGAAGAAGAAAAGACGCACCTTCATCGCTGCAAAGCCCTAAGAAACTTGAAGGGAGTATTGCGGAAGAGCATGATGGCCATCATCTTCAGCAGTTGCAATTTGAAGCATTTTGCTCTGTCTGGTCAAAAATTGAGTCTACTATCAAGGTCCTTTGTTTATCTTTTCTTATTTTTGCTTTCTCTTGTAAATTATTGCCTTTTCAGTTCATGTAGTGCTCAAGTAATAGATGCTGTCAATTAATGTGGGCATCACCAATATAAGGCCTTTTTCTTTTTATTCTCAAATCCTTGAATAAGGAGATATTGAAGAGTCATATTATTTTCATTGCAGGATGTTTTGAGAGATACCAATGCTAGTGTTTTTAATGAAATACGACAATGGGTTCTGGCATGCTTCAATGCTACTAGATCAACTAGAGAACCTAGCTTTGCCAACTCAGTTGGATCTTTTCCTGTTCTGAACGAAAGTACTCCTAGACAGCTATTCACTGGGTTGGTGATAACCAGTAAGCTGTTACACCAACTTTCTCAGATCTGGTTATTTGATGTTTTTGCGCCTTGTACTGCTTTGATTGCTGACATCATTATAATTGAAACAGACATCTATCAATTCTGTAAGATGCAATTTATATTGGTTGCTTTTGTTTATCATACAAGTTAAACGATGGTAGCATCATTTATCTTTTTAAATAGACTTCTGATAAGCTTTTGGCTGAATGATGGGTGGCAGAAAACATGGAGTTTGTTGATGACATTTTAACGTTTGAAGAGCTTAGCCACTTCTTGGAATTGCAAGGTTGCCATGTTGGTATGCTATCATCCTTAGACTTTTCTGTGAAAAATGGGATTGTTGGTTGCCTAAAAGCTTTGTTGCGAGAGTTTATGCACGCCACTATGGATGTAGGTGCTTCTACATTCTCATGTTTGATTGATTCTATCTACATTTATTGTGCCTATCACTTTTTCCTCCTTATAATATGCTATCTTTTGGCAGTCAGCTGACATATCAAACTTAGCATCATGGTATAGAGAACAGGGAAACCACAATAAGCCCCTGGTTCTTATCATTAATGATGTGGAAAGATGCTCTCGGACGGTCTTATCTGATTTTATCCCCATGTTAAGGTATGTTTAAGCATCTTCTGGGTATTGATCTATAAATATATATCCATGTATTTTTTAATATGTGAGTGCATATAGGCATATTGAATACTTAATTCAGCCAGCCTTTTGCTTATCTTAACTGTGGTTTGGGGCCTCATTGTGTATTTGTGTCTCTTGTATATGAATTCTTGAATCTAGTAACTGAATATTTTTATACAATGGCGCCTTTCACTTGGATGATTTTATAGCAACCTTCATTTTCTTCCTCTGTTTCTACCAGTGAATGGGTAAACAGGCTGCCAGTGATCTTGATATTTGGAGTTGCGACCACAGTGGATTCCCTAAAAAACATTCTTCCATCACATGTTCTTCACCATTTGTGCCCCGCTAAATTTATGCTTGGATCACCAGCTGACAGAATGGATTCAATTATCAAGGCTGTTCTTGTGAAGCATTGCGCTATATTCGGTATTGGTTACAAAGTGGTTCTATTTCTTAGAAACAACTTCTTAAACAAGGATGGGACATTAACATCTTTTATCCGAGGTTTGAAGGTAGGTCTTATGATTTGGGTTAGTGGTTTCTTGGGGGCTTTTTTTATTTTTGCGATGTTTTACTCTGTACGTCATCAATACTAGGGGATATGACTTTCTCTTTTGCTTGTCATTTTTTGTGCATATATCTTTCCAGATAGCTTGCATGTTACATTTCTCTGTGGAGCCTCTAAGTATCATACTTAGCCAAGCACTCGCTGAAGAAGACCAGGAAGTAGGATATTTTAATCCTGTAATGATGCAATTGCCTTTGCTTTTCTATTTCAATTATGAAGGTAATCATAGTCATATTTGTTGGAGATATGAAAAGTCATCCTTACCTATTACATGAAAGGTTAAACTCTTTGGTCAAGTCATATATTGATCATGTTATGAGAGGCCTTTTTGACCAAGTATCTACAGTTATTTTGGCCCTATTTGTTACGTCTGACATTTCAGTATATGGAGTGGCTAGCTGGTGCAGATGTCCACGCTTCAACTTGCTGGCTGTTTTGTCAATTGGCATGTTGAACATGTAGAATTCTCTGGTCATGGCAAAAGCATTCGATTTTAATATTTTTTTTCCTTCTTACGGAGACAAATTAACTACAATTGTCTAGTAGTTTGGCTTGTGTCTAAGGCTGAGAGATAGAAAATTTCATTTTAATGAAATCTTATGATGTCTAGATTAGAAAATATCTAAGCTTGGTCTGTTTGTGGGAAAACTTAACGGGTCAAGCTCTGAACTAGTATATGTTATTCAAGTATGGGCCGATTATTTTTTTTTCTTGAAAATTATCCGTACAATTTTAAGTAAAGGGGAAGCTAATAACTGCAGGTATAGCCTTGGCAAACCAAGAGTTCATATTGGCTGCAGTTTCTACTACAGCTAATGGTCATGTATGCAGAAGCACGTGTCATTTTTTGTGGAACAAAATGATTTTTCAACTGTGACAAGTCTTTTTTGGCCAAAAAAGAAAAAAAAAACTGTGACAATTCTTGTGGACAATTGCTTCCATTTTGTATTGCAACTTTTTCCGGATCAGATCCTTTCCTTCTATTGTTGTTCACTTTGTTGATAACTTGAGCATCTTAATTGGTTTTTCTTCCCATGTCTTTAATGGTTTTGGTAATTGGGTTCTTAGGATGGAAAATCTGCGTTATCATCTGATACAGTGTTGAAGTATGTGCATGGACTTCCATCATGTGCAAGGTGCCGCAGTTTTCAAATATTCACTTTTTACTTTCCTAGATTTGAATTTGCTTAAATGATGGTAAGTTTATCTCCTTGTTACAATTAAATGCTAGGAATCAAATGGCTGATGAGACTGGGAGAAATTTAGCTCAGGGCCTGTCAACTTTGGTTAGAGCGAAGAAGCTTTGGAGCACTGCGGTCCTGGTAGGATTTTAAAATTATGTGTGTACTTTCCACTTTCATTGGTAAATTATTTCCAAGCACTGCAACTTCGTTTTTTGAACCCTGAAGTTTTGAGGTTCTCTGACTTTCACCGCTTATATATTATAGATAATAATAATTGTGTCTCCTGTCAAATTTGATTTTGCATAACCACCCTCTTTTGAATAATTGGTGGACGATCCATTATAGACAATTGTATCTTTGTGTTGTCTCTAGTCAAGTTTTCCCACCTCTATGGCGAAGGAAAGGTACATGATAGATGTCTCCCCATTCCTTTTTCCTTAGACTACTATCATGTAAAATTGATTGTATGACTAGCTAGAAAAAGATTTCCCCCCGAATAGTCATTGATTTAACAAAGCATCGAGACATATAGATTAACTTAACCCTAGTCGTCAAAAACATCAACGACCTTGATGTAGGTGAAGCAAAGTTGCAGAAATACTGAATCTCATTTCACTAGAGGGTAAAGCGTGCAATATATACAGATTTAGGGAGTAATTACAAGTAAGAAATCGGGGATATAAAAATCAGAATTGTATCCTATGATATTTGACTGTTTACAAGATAAATAGCATTGAAGTCTAATAACTCTGATCTTCCACAGTAGGATCAGTAGCAAAATAATAAGAAAAGGGGGTAAGAGAAGAATGGAGAAGATGAAGAGAGAAATAAAGGGAGAAGAGGGAGGAGGGAGAGGGAGAAATAACTAACAGGATGATGAAAACTCCTCCCTCTGATTATAGAAATAAAAAATAAAATTAAAATGGGACTCATGCCACCTGCAAATGAGTGCTGCATTCTTTTTTTTGATGAGAACTCTGAATTTTTTAATTTTTTTATTCCTCTTTGAAGGTAACCCCCTGTCAACATGCTATTCAAATTCTTGCATTTTTATCTCGAAGTGCAGTTATTGCTGGATGACGCTGCTTGTTAAGCCTCCAACAAAGACAACTAGTAGCACTTGATGTCCTATATCTGATATTTATATAATATATTTATTTGGAAAGAGATATGGTATTATTCAATAATTATATTTATAGCATCTTTTGCATCTTTTGTGTAACATATATTTTATAGCATACTTTATCATATTTAGTTTGATGCGTCTTATGCTGGGAACATCTTATATCTAGATTAATTTCACCATAGATGAAATGTAATAACTATATATTCAATTGGCAAATGGAGTTGAAGTGAAGGTTAAAACTGGATAGTATTTGGCATTTTTGTGATCTTCATCATGAGGTTATCATAACCTGCTTTCCTCGCAAATTTTGATAATCAGCTGAGGCTAATAATTTGATGTTTATGATATATATTTTGTTCAGTGCCTGCATGAAGCCGGAAAATATAATAGAATTCGACTGCTGGATGTGTTTTGTGAAGTGCTCAATCCAGATCTGTTCCCACCAAGGGCTTCTGATTGTCACGTCGCAGATGAAAATGATTGTGGCTTGTCCTCATCCAATTCCTACCAACAGTGTTCTATTATTCAAAGGGGAGGATGTATTTCCCAGATACTTCGCAAACTGAGGTGGTTATCATGTCTTTTTCTTGAAAGAAAATCTTAATTTTGCCAAATAGGTTCTCTTGGGGCTAGTTGATGCAATAAAGGAGGGGGGATAGGTGGAACAAAAATGAATAGGATTGAAAAGAGAAATTAGAGCGTAGGGATAGAGATGGTGAAGGTGGTTTCTGAAATTCTGTAATTATAATTTGTCTTTTGCCTCTAGAAATGGCATCTAGATATTATAGTTTCCTTCTATTATAGAAAATCCTAGGATTGGTTTGTACTGCGTATTATTTGAAGACTGAATTAAATAGGAAAAGAAACAAGCTAAATCTCTCCAAAATAAGAAAGCAGAATGCCTATTGTAGATCACGAACAAAGATTATATCATGAATAGTCAAGTTAACCATGTAAAGTAAAATCAAATACTTCTTTGCTTTAGCTCATGTCTCTGGAAACATTTTTTAAATTGAATCGAACCATTTATGTTTCCTATGGAAGAATTATGCTAACAGCAAAATTGTTCATTTGGACATTTCACAAGCTACTAAACATCTCAAAACTTTGATTGCAAATTGGATCAGGGATCTACCTCCTGCAATGCTATTTCAGTTGATTAGGAGCTGGGAAAAATGCACTGCAGGTGTTGCTGAGGTATGTTTACTTGTGATTATGATTTGATGCTCATAATTTTCAAAGAATGAAAGTTGCTTTAGTAGTCAAAGCTTTCGATTGTTTTTTTGGGCCATAAGGTCATAAATTTTTCATTTTTTCTAAAATCATTGATACTGAAGGGAAAAAAAGAGAGAAAGGGTATTGGAAAATGTGAAGTGATAGGCTTATATTGTATGGGTTCAGGCAATTCCCAACCAATTTTGATGCATGCCCTTATTTACTGATTCTCCTTCAGTAGCCTTTCCCAGTTTATGGCTTGCCTTGGTAGGTGTTTTTAAATAATTTTCAACCACGTTTGTTGGTTTTTTTCCAACAAATCTTGTGTATACTCTTGTTTAGAGATGCAAGTCTTTTCTTTAAATCTAACAACTTCAATTCCCAAATAGTATTTTAATGTCCCAAGGTCTTACATGCGAAATTCATTTACCAGATATTTTTGGAGCTCTTATCTCATTTGAAACATTCCCATTCGCTATCATGTTATCAACATAAACTGATATATTGCAACTCCCTCTGAAATAGATTGTTTGATAAATAATGCATCTATTGGGTGCACCTTGGCATGGTTTGCTACATACAACCATGGCCACGTCATGGCTAATTTACCAATACCAGATAGGCTGGGTCTTCAGTAAACTGATGGTTTTTACCTAGCTATTGTGCTTTTGTTGGTGGAAACTTGCTGTATTGGAAGCGAAAGAAACCTGTGTGGCTTGCTCTAGTGTAGAATTTGAGTACGTTTTGCTACTTAAAAAGTGATAAAAAGAGATAGATACTAACATTGTACAAGGATTTATTTTCCTTTTTCTGCAATTTCCTTTCCTCCTGCCTTTCCATCATGGTAGTCATTATACCTTGGAAGCTGGTATCACAGTTAAATTCTTTTGTTTCCCATAGATTAAATAAAAGGATCAAGGGCTACAGTACCTTTAGTGTAGAAGCTGTACAACTTTTCTCATGAAGTAGGAGCTAGTGAACATGATTAAATTTTACCATTTTCTCTTTGAAAGATCAGCTTTAACAATCTTCTCTCTGTATTGTTTCATTTTATCAATTCATTTTTTTTTAATTTTTCTCAGAAATGTTGACTTTTGTTTACACAGACACACATACACAACACACACCCAGATATATGTATATTTAATTTTTGGTTGATGAAGTGACTGGTTGAATTATGTTATGGTTTATTTCAGATTCATGACAAATTAAAAACGTTGCAATCTTCACTAAGATGTGAAGATGGAAAAAGGCCAACCAAGAGTTCTGACATTTCCAAGTAATATTATAATATGCCCTTTCTTTATATTATGCCCATTTTGGAGTTTAATGGCAGAGGTTGTTCTCTGTACTGTCTGTTTTGTTCTATTGGCGTTAGAGGATGATTCCTCTGCCTTAGAGATTATTTCCTTATTACTTTAAATTACATTCAATGATATATATATTTATACTCCTCCGGTCCTAAATGTAAGACTCTTATATACACTAGTATAAGGGTCTTAGATTTAGGACCGGAGGAGTATATATTTTTTAATCATTAACAGTGTTTTGAGACTTGGTTTAAGCAATCAATTCAGCTGAATTTGCTAGAATGGGTCAATGTGCTGTACAGCTTGACAAAATTGCTGAATTTCTCATTACATTGGAGAGTCAAGTTACATGGATATTTATACTATCAGGGAGACACTACTAGGAAATAAAATAAATTAGAGTCCCCTAAAAATTAGAAATTGGTTAATTTCTTAAACACATGCCTAGTTCTGAGGGTCCACCATAATTTTATGATTTATAACACTCTGAAGCTGATGATTGCACATTTTCCATACCAAGTTTGACGGTTAAGTTACGAAAGAAGACGTTACATAACCTTTTGGCAAGTACCTACCAGTTCTTGAGCTGTTTAGAGGATGTTCTCTCCTATGTTGTGATTCATAGAGTGTATACGCCAAGACATACGTAACCGCATTGCTCTGGCCTTCCTACCCATCAAAATTTTCGGTCACTCCTTTCAGGTGGAGGAAGTTAAACAAAAATTCAAGGAGCTGACTCTTAAAAATAAAATACATAGCCAGTTAAGGCAACTAATCTGAACAAGATCACCGCATAATAACTCCCAGATTTCCAATATATATATATATATAAAATATTCCCAAATATGATACGTCACAATTTGAAGAATTATTTGAAATCATGACATTCATATATATTATTGAGTGAAGTAGATGAAAAATACTCTTGAAAATGATTATTATATAAGAACATATGATACCGCATGGCTTGTTGTTTCCACCTTGTACTTAATATCTTTCCTCTCTATACACTCCTATGTAATGTAGTCACTATTTGAAGTAGTTCCAATGGTACTCAATAATTACGGAAAAGAAACAATAGAATTTTACTTAATAAATACACTCAAATCATGAAAATTATATTACATGCTTCAACGTGAGAGCAATAGCCATAATGTGGAAAATACTAGTCTCTTCTACAGCTCTGGAGGCAAGATGGATACCTTTTGAGGACATGTGCTTGCAAGACAAGTCAAGAGGAGGGAGGACAGTGAAGGAAAGTGGAGGAATCAGGGCTCTTAAGGCTGAGGAGGGAAGACGTGTGGGACAAATAATAAGAGATTTTTATGAATTGGGTCAAATCAAAATGCTACCATTAATCTCTGCTTAAAACTCGTGTATGCTGATACAATGTTCTTGATTCTTGTTTTTCTTAAAATTTCAATGAGGTTTGTCCTTGACATGTCTTTTCAACTGCGATCAATGTTCAAGGATAACTTCATTTTGTATTTATAATTAATGCTGTTTATTTTCAGGAAACATGCGACCAGGATTTCATTAAACAGTGAAAAGGACTCAAGAATCTTAAATTCACAAGTTATCGCATTCATGAATGACTTGGTCTGGTAAAATTTTTTTATCATAACTGTTGTCATTATTTATATATAATTAGTATAAATTTGATTTGATCGGTTTCTGTCTATGACATTTGAATAGTGGAAAGACGTGAAGGACACTTGTAGCCCATGAAGGCTGTGTTTTGATTAAGTGAATGGAAGAGTAAAATAGCCTAATCATTTCCCCTCATACCATGCATATTTCTACATCACTTCTTTTTCTCTATCCTGAAGAAATTATCAAAAAGTCATAGAGAAATCAATTTTTTTTTTTTTAAATTAAGGGAGGAAACATTTGATGTCACATCACCTATTTCATCCATAGGTACTGAAGTTCCTTGAATGTAATATTCTGGGTAAATTTCAAAGTTTCTTTCTCTAATCCAACTTAGAGATGCCTGAAGAACTGAAACTATAACTGTATAATTGGCATGGATATGTTCAAAATTCAGATACGATCAGATAACTTTAAGTTGAATGCTTTTTACATGAATGAAGTTGTTTCTCTGTCAGTAATGGCAGTGTTGACTTGATCTGTCAAAGTTGCATTTGGATTTTTTTTATGTGCTTTGTGTTACATGGTTTATATTAGGAATTCTGGTCCATTGGTAGAGTTTATGCATCTCAAAATGTTATTGCATTCTATTATAATTGTGTTATTTGACCTAACATAACATATTACGCTTGCTCTTAGAAACATCATTTAGCTTGTTTATTTTATTCGCTCGTAACACTACTGTCAATAACTTGATTATTTTGCTTACCTTTGCTGAATGTCATGGAGTTCAAAGAAAAACAGAATTTGCCTCTGTCGTTCAAACTATCTTTCACTGGCTAGCCTTTTCTATGAAACAGGAATTATATGAGGCCCATTTCATGCATGCCTTTCCATGAAATTGCCTGTTTTAATGAGGTTGAGAAGCTACAACTGGTAAGGCCTCCACAGATTTCTTATGCCAGTATATGAACCTCAGTATTACTATTTAACACTTCCAGGATGCTTGACCATGACTATCATATGAACTAGCTAGAGTTTATGACACTGCTGCATCTAATTTGTTTCATGATGCATCTGTTGAATGTTGAAAGGGCATTGTTGAGGATTTAATATCATCTGCTTATCTTTTGCTTCTTTTCATTCCTGCCCAAATTACAGTCATTCTTCAATATTTAAATCACAACGAATGGACCCATTTCTATTTCATTCAACGTGCCTCCTACATTTAAACTTCTCAACGCTTGCTTTATAATATATTCTTTATTGTCATAGGCTTTGACTGGAGATCCAAGAAGCAGAATTCAAGTTGATCTTTTGGACGCCAACAAGATTTTACGGTGCAGCTGCTGCAAAAAGAGTAGCTCTGCACTATTGCCGTCCATGCATGATTCCTCAATTATGTAAGTATATCCAGATAAGTTCTTTCTTGACAATTATTATAATTGCTTGACATGATTCCTCTTTTAATAGTTTCAGTATTGTCTTATCCTATCTATCTTATCCTCTTTAGGATTTAGTTATCGTCTTATCTTTTAGGGTTTATTAGATTTAGATTAGATTCTTATCTTAGATAATTATACCTGGGGCTCTATAAATAGTTCAAAAGTATTCTCAATTGTCTTGGATATGTACATACGTATGCACATACATATATCTTTAGACTGTAACGTCAAGGGAGCTGTGGAAAAGTTTTCTTGCATTTGGCCGTGAATTTTTGACTTGAAGGTTAAAACTGATGTTCATTGTTTTAATCAGGTATTCCCTGGCTGAGGAGCATGGTGATGTAATCAATCTTCATGACTGGTTCAAGTCCTTTCAAACAATTATTCTTGACCACAAGAATAAGCGCAAACAAAAGTTGAAGCAATCCCCACATAAAAGGAAGAGAAAAGATACAAATGAATCTAGTGATCCAAGTGAAGCGTCAATTCAGTATCCTTTAGATTTTTTTTCTTTTGCTGAAAAATTACATTGCTTGTAAAATTATGTTAGCTTTCTATTATCCCCAGATGGTTTCTAATCAATCTTAGCCAGTCAATCCACTATTTACAGTGGTGAACCTCCTTTCCATTAGCTATGCTCACTTTTCCTTCTCCGAAGTTGCATCAATATTGGAATTCAGAAATCTTGGTTCGATCTGCCTCCTCAAAAAGCCAATAGTTTTTCAAGAATTGTAGAATGAAATAATTCATGATTTCCCTTCTGAAGTTGCAGGGGTCATATCTTGTTCTGCAGTCCCCCCCCCCCCCCCCCAAAAAAAAAAAAGGTTGTTCCCCAGCTAATACCTTTCTAGTGGCCAAAAAATAGGACAAAAATAATTATTCTCGTTATACTGACATGCTCTGTTGCCTGATCTCCTACCTTCAAGCCCTTAGTATAGAACCAATATGCTTTGTTGACCAATTTAAAAAAAAAAAAAAAAAGCTTTGATGCCATCCTGCGTAATTGTGATTCAGTAGTTTATATTTACACGAACTCATATCATGATCTTCAATTTAAAATGGTAAGTAGGTTAATTTCTCTTTGCCTATTATAAATGGTATATGCATATTTTGCTGCTCCCTCTTCCCTGTTGCTGTATTGCCATTGCATTTCATTTACATCCATTGAGATCCTTAATCTTGATTTCGCCAGAGCACGTTTTTGCAATGCAGTTACAGAGTTGCAGATCATTGGCTTACTAAGAATGCCTAGCAAGAGACGCCCTGATTGTGTACAGAGAGTAGCCTTCGGATTTTGAGAAGAGGGCATTAATTGTTGCTCAAAACTCATCTTTTTGTGTTCTTTCTACTTCAGTTATATGTTATTGAATTAAGGAGTTAAATAGGTTTTAATGTTGATTAGGTTTTCTGCTACACCTAATCAGATGAACTTTATAGGCAGAATAATCTGTGGCACCAAATGTGTAGTGTACCTTTCATTAGTCTCTTGTACTCGATTCATTATTTTTATATTTTATAGTTCTGTGGAGTAGTTCAACTGAGTAGTAACTATAATTATTGACAAATAACTTATTGAAATAAAAATTTGTTTTGAAAACTTGGGGGAAAAGTCGCTGTTGAAAATTTTGTTGATTAGAGGATCTGATAAAATTTTCCACACATGAAGTAGTCAAGTACCTGCAATAAGTAATTTATGTCTCTTTTGCCAATTAAATTTTTGATGGGAACTTTTTCACAATTTTCCTTGTTTGATTCTAGAATATTTGGGAAAAAAATGTTATAATAAGTGGTTTATTTCTAATAATATTTACTAAAAAATAATTGTAATATAAGTGATCTATTACATCTGCCTAATAGGGCTGTATTTGAATGGTCATATTAGAAGGGTTAAAGTGCATTTAACATCTCAACGTATTTTGTAGTGTATCTAGTACTGTAGTACTGTGAAGTAATTTTTTTGATACCTTTATCATCCTAAAATGTTTTTTTATAATGACGTTGGATGTATTAAAAAATATTTTTGAATGTTAGACCCACCTAAAAAAAGTATTTGAAGATATTGGATGCATAAAAATATATTTTACAGTGCTAAATGCACTTAAAAAAATATTTTAGAATACTAGATGTATCATAAAATATTTTAAAGTGCTCGATACATCTCAAAAAAAATATTTCGGGACGTTGATATACCTTAATACATATTAGAAAGAACGATGCATGAGGGTTTGAAGCTTCTAGTGCCTTGCTTTTTAATGTCTTAATATCTAAATTTTATTTTGTATAGAGGAAGATGCGTCCAATAAGTGGTGACAATTCCTGAATAGAAGAGGAACTTTTTTTTTTTCCTTTCCTTTTTTGGGGTACAGGAATGGGAGAGGAAGTTTGTTAGTTAGAGATTGTGAATGAGTGGCTGTAATTTAAAGAAGCAGAACAAACAATAGCCGTGGTTTTAAAATATATATATTAAAAAAACTTTCAACTCTTAAAAATTTAAGGGGAAATTGCAAAAAAAGACCTTGGAATTGCAAAAACGCAGATAGGGACCTTGACAACTTCACTTTGGGTTTTGACAACTTCAGGGCATATTATTCTGTCAAAACTTAAAGTGAAGTTGTCAAGGGTCCCTATCTGCGTTTTTACAATTCCAAGGTCTTTTTTGCAATTTTCCCAAAATTTAACTTTGGCAAATTATAATAATTTTTTCCCGGCTTCAAGGACATTTTCAAACTTCTATGTCTATGTTTTATTATTTAACATTAGAGGTTTGATTTTAAATGATTATAGATATAATTAATTAATTTAATACTTCTCAAATTGAAGATAACGAAGCTCTGTCTCTCACTCCAAGTTTGTCATAATTATTGATTGTCTTGAAAATTTAATTTTTATCAATCAAATTTCCAAAGTCTGATATCAAAAAAATAGTCACACGCAATTATTCTTTCTGTGATGGCAAAAAAAAAAAAAAGAAGCAATTATTATTCTTTATGATTCAAAGACATATAATTCTAAACACGTGTGATCTAACCATTTAACTAAAAAAACAACAACTTCCTCATGGAATATAGAAAAAAATTATTGGCCCAATGAAATTAAATAAAAAAAATTACTATGTATGAAACTTCAAGAATTTAATTAATAAAAATTAAATTTTAGTAACCAAAGTAATAAGTGAGATTAATTTAGATCACTAAAAGTTTGATTATCCCAAACTTACCATGTTCTGCATATGAAAAGAAAGTCCTTACGAAAATGCAGAAAAAGTTTCCAGGACAAAAAGAAAAAGGTGATGGTCTCTTATTTCAGGAGATGAGATGAATTCAGTTGCATAGAATGAACGAGGACTTGGGGGCTTGGCGTGGTCGATGGTTTTGGGGTAGCCGGCGACTGAGAGAGTTGACGGAGACGAGGTGATCGCTACTGCGGTGACAGTGGTGCCGGAGGTGAGAGAAAAGATCGGTGGCTAGGGCCAATATTTGGGCGAGAACGAGTAGGGAAAGCCAGGGCGAGAGAATTCGGTGGAGCAACGTCGCTGTCTGCGGAGACTCGACGGAGAAGAGGGGAAAATTTCTTGCCTTCAAGGTTTGGATTCCTCGTGCCTAAATCTATCTCTCTTTTCATTCAAACTTTCAATGATATGGTCATAGTTTTCTTCGGCTATGACATTTGTTTGGATCACGGATTTTCGTTTGAGTTATAGTGGTCAACTTGTTGATGTTCGGCTATGCCAATCTGTTATGCTGCTGGTTTGCAAATTATTTTTCAGTCTATGCAAATATTTAGACGTTCAATGTGTGTATTAATTTTCAACTTTTTCATGGGGACGGATTGTTCTTTCTGAACATGGCTCGGCATATTTCTGTCTTTCAAGAGCTTATCTACTCCTGCTCATGATTAAGTAGTTTGTGCTGTAATTCGGATATGCCCCATCAAATGTTGATTTGGCGAATTGAAAGAGTTGCAACGCTGAGGCCCAGATCCTTTTGTGACGTAAATTTGGTTGTTTTCCGCTAATTTAACCGTCAATTTTACAAACTATTACCAATTACTTGAGCAAATTTGGAAGCTGAATTGAGATATTCAACGATTAATTTATAGTGGTGAGGTTTCCTGTAATTACATCAGGACTGTAGATATGAATCAAGTAATCAACACTCTATCCTTCCATTGTACTTGGTCAATCCCATGAGTATCTTTTGTTCCAATTCATCTTAGAAGTTGAGGATGATGATTCATGCCGTGACATCCTTAATCATTTTCTGTATTAATAAGCCAAAGCAGGTGATGAACACGAAGCATAGTCTGTGTGAACTTTAAAGCCTATTTTGATGCAGTGCTTTTGTTCAAGTAACTTCATAGCCTATGTGTTCTTATAGTCCTCTTTTCTCTTAATTTGTAGTAACTATCGGTGAGAAATGCAAGATCCAAGGATTCCTGTTCCCGAAGAAATCTTAAACCCTAAATCACGCAAGAAGAAGAGCTCAACACAGAGAGCATCTTTATTTCAGCTACAAGGAAATAATGTGAATGAAGAAGTACAGGCACCTGTTTCACTAAGATCAGGACACAAGGGTTCCAAGAGAAACTTGATGACTGAAATATCACCCCCATTTCAGAAACCAGAGGGTTCTAACTCAGATTCACTGCCGGACTCCTCTTCTGCTGGAAATGATTACCGAGCACTGAGGCGAAAGTATCTATTGCTGGAAGATGAGAGCTTTGCATTAGGGACAGAACTAAAAGAGGTTGAAGATGAGGTAAAGACCCTTGAAGACGAGAAGCTTGCACTGTTGGATCAGCTCGTTGTGTTGGAAGGCCTCGTCGATCCTTCAGAGATGCAGCCCTAGTGTTTACAAATTACATTTTTCTAGAACTTCTGCATATGCCTTCATCTTCCGATAGAGCAATCCATTTATTAATGATAAAATGCCTGAACAGGAGTCAATGTTTGGCTGTTCTGTATAGCTCTATAGAAATTGGTATTTGGTGTATCAAAAATTACGTTTGTGCAAATCAGATAAGTCTTATATTTGAAGGCTGAACCCCTCTGTCACTTATGACGCAGATAAACTTTGATCATATTTGTCTTTAGTCAGGATAGATTCTTAATGCCTTTTCTCCCGTTCGCTTTTTCTCCCTCGTATTTTCGTGGGGAGGGAGTGAGTATCACTTGCATAACGGTGCTGTGCTTGTACCAAAAATTATGTTTGTGCAAATCATATTTGTCTTTAGTCAGGATAGATTCTTAATGCCTTTGGAGTGGGTTTTCCAGGAACATATTAAGCCTCAACTTTTGGTTAAAAGTAGTGTGCTTGTACCAAGAAAAGCAGTGTGCTGGAATATAGATTGTCACAGGACGAAGCGAAGAAGAACCAGTATGTAAAACCAAAGATTAAAGGATACCAGAAATTGGCTACCAATTCAAGCGTTGAAGCATAAGTTTCATTTTCCTTCAAAAAACCAATGTGTAAAACAAAATAATATTTTTTTGGCCGACTATGATGATCTGATAATCGAAAATGGTATTTTGGTTCGGTCTTTAGCATGGGAATGGAATGGCCCTAGTACCGGTATTAATCTCTTTTTAGGCGACTTATTAATAATTTTTCTGGTCCGCTACGAAAGTGATGGAAATTTAACGAAGGGACAACATTGTTTGGATTTTAGGATTTCTCGGGTAGTAATGCTCCATCTTGAACTAACAAAAATATTTCAAGGGCAGATCTGTGCACTTACCTAAAGTTTAAACGAGTTAGCCGTGTTGTTCATTCTCAAAAGAAATTTTGAAAATAAAGGAAAGGTATTCACTACATACTACTTCCAATTTCATATGTAAGTCACAACTAGCAGATCAAAATATTGATTAAAATTAATTAAAATAATGTGTAAAAGATGTAAATTTTTTTAAAAAATATAGTCTTATTTAAAAATAAAAGGAAGGTCAATATATTTTGCTCTAGAATTGATCATTACATCATCACCAACCAAAGATGCGATTAAAACCATTGCCTCTGAAATATATACCTAAGTAGATATGTAATTATTGAAATATTATATGACTGTGACATATTTATATAGAAGATGGTTTCATGTATATTTAACACCAATTGCCATCTTATAATATTCTTTATTTAAGTTATTTGATTAAGACCACAAATTTTTAAATTATTTAATAAAAGAAAATTCACTTTGATGTTGTTAGTGAGTCTAAATGTCAAATGTTCAATAATATTTATATCACCATCCGGATAACGACAACAAAATATGCAATCATATTCACACAAAAGGCTTTAACAAAATTATCCATTAAATATTATCAAATTTCAAGGTGTGCATGGACTAGACAAAAATCCAAAATTGACCCAAGGAATGGTGACACATTATAACTCATGAGAAATTGCAGCATAAAATGGGCTTTGCAACGCGTAAGATTCGAATTACATGCATATTCTACACTTTTAGTAGCGAGGGCTTCAAACTATCATTGTTTACATTCATATTCTGTCACTAGTGTCTTCTGTTCCAATTATATAAAAGTGGCATGCATCAAGATTTCAGCATGAATCTTGCTCTAATGCCTATATGGATCACTATCCACAAAGATTCTAAGCTAATGCAAAATATTTACAAGCACTGTTGTTATTTATAAGCAAAGCATTGTTAACTTGTTATCGCTCGTGCAGCCCGGACAACCAGAGGACTGGTGACCTGTGATCTTCTGTTCTTCCATGACAAGAAGCCAAATGAATAGCCCTTTGAGGGAGAAACCACTTTAAAATTGACAGTGAACTTGATGCTCTGCCCAACTCTTCTGAAGTTAAGTTGGTTTGGCACAACAGTGACTTTAACTCCAGCAGGAGGAGACACTTCAGCCTTATATATACTTCTTGCCTCTCCAACATTAGTCACAGTTCGAGATATTGAAATGTTGTCTTTGAGGTTGGGCACTGTAATAGATGGATAGTTGAGGTCAGAGGCAGCTTTGCGTCTTCTATGGCTATGACATGTACTGTTGTCTCTAGTAACAAGCCGGAGTGACTTGGCACCATACTTCAGTGAACAAAGGAACTCTATGTAGTCTTCTGGCTTTATATCATAGATGAGGCCAGGATCAAAAACTCTTGCAGGGTTCACAAATCCCGATCCATAATCAAATGAATTAGCCTTTCTTCGTCCAGCATCTGCTCTGATGGGTTTGTGTTGTTTATCCAGAGTTGTAGCTGCACATATCATGCCTGAGATTAATTTCCTGGTAGGAGGTAATGAAGCTTGTGCACTATAGGAATATGCGTGGTGATCCTTTTCTTGGTTCTTCTGAGTTGTTTGGCATTTTATTTGAGAATTTAATCATGTTTGATGTCTAAGAAGTCTAGTAGCAATTTGAATAAGAAGGAACTCAGGCAAGATTATACTATATAGACCACAAGAAAAAGATACTACTATTTGCTGCCATAACGTGATACCGGTTGTCATGATGGCTGATTTGATAGCAGATGGTGACCACGAAGGATGAACAGCTTTAACTAAGGCTGCAATTCCAGTTACATGAGGACAAGACATAGAGGTTCCTGAGAGAATGTTATACATTATGCTTCTTTTAGCTGGTGACCATGCTGCAAGGATGTTCAATCCCGGAGCTGTGACATCAGGCTATACAGTAGCAGAGTCAAAACTTACAAATCTTCCAAGAAAGAATTAAATGAAATGATATTTGCCAAAGAGCCGAATAAATTTCTCTATTTCCCTTCTTGTTAATGAGAATATTACCTTCAAAATTGCTGGGGTTAAAGAGCTGGGACCTTTAGAAGAAAATGTCGCCATAAGGGGTGCAGGCTGAGTTCCAAACAGTGTCTTTGCTCTGAAAATTCTTGACGTAGGCTTACTGTTCAGAATCATAGAAAGCTAGATTAGAGAATAGCTGAGACCTCAGAGAGCTCAAAAGAAATGTCCATACTTTTGAATGTAAAACAAACCGTGTGTTATTAACATAAGACAGAATCCTTTCTCCCGTTTCCCTTCTTACGATGGCTGAAGGAATTATAAATGGGATGGCAACATCTAGATCTAATTCATCAATAAGTATCATTCCCACTCCTCCGGCCTCTTTCACCACTTTACTCTTCACTAGTTTTGACTTTGTTGAACTGTCTGCCTGGCGACACACCAGAACAGTCCCTTTTGCCTTGGACGCATTGAGGGAACTGTCCAAACAATAACTACAGAAACAAATAGAAACAGAAAAAAATTTATGTTTAAGGCATCATTTTGCATCAATGTTCATATAAACACCACTTTTCACGTTTCAACAACCTTGTGCGTCACCTGGATTGATAAGGGGTGAAATATCCTGCGAAGGCTTCAGATGCGGGAAGTATCCTTGTGTTGGCTTTCATTTCCAAGAGACTTAGACTCTCACCCTGTTTCAATTACACAGTAATTGTCCTGGTCTAAATACAGTGCCAAAAAAAAAAAAAAAATTCCATCAATGAGAAGTGAACAGATTTACCTTGATGTTAACCCCATTTCCTAATCTAATATCGGATGTGAAATCCCTGTCTGTTGAGCTAGCAGCAACAGTGATCATCCATGGTGCAAGATTTGTAGCAGAACCAGGATTTCCACTATTCCCAGCTGATGCGACCACAAGCACTCCATGACTAGCGGCATGGAATGACCCCACAGATATGGCATCCCTGAAATAGTTTCCTTGGGGAGCTTCAGGACCGAGAGAGATAGACAGAATGTGAACCCCATCTCGGATGGCATCATCAAAGGCAGCTAACAAGTCTGCGTCATAGCAACCTGAGTCCCAGCAAGTTTTGTACACAGCAATCCTAGCCTTTGGTGCTCCTCCCCTAGCATTTCCAGCTCCAAATCCCTTGTAATTCATGTTTGCCATGTGGCGTCCTACGGCTATTGAGGCAGTGTGACTGCCATGGCCAGAGCTATCCCTGGGAGATTTGTAAGAAAATTTGTTCTCTAAATCTTCCTCTGCTTCAAATCCACTTGCATAGTATCTAGCTCCAATCACTTTCCTATGCCATTAATTATGGACCAATGAAAACAACACATCTACAAACCGAAGTCAATAAAGCTAAAAGATAAAGATGATGTTCAATCAAAAAACCTGTTGCAAGATGAAGCGTTGAAAGCTTCTCCTGGTTGACAATGTCCCTTCCACTTGGATGGCACTGGAGGCATGTCTAGGTCTTTAAAACTTGGGGATTCTGGCCAAATTCCTGTTTGAATAGTGATCATGATTCAAGTTAGATCAACTGTGATTCCCATTTATTAACACCAGACCATCAATTAAGGTTTGCCAGAAGGGAAAAGAGACAATACAAGTCTTCTGAGGTTGAATTTTTTTTAAGAAAATACTTTGCTCTTAAGGGGCAACTGATAAAATGAGAGTGGGAAAGAGACACAGTTTCTACTGTCAAAGTAATAAATGCAGCGTGGAAATGCCTGAGGGCCGATGAAAATGCCTGTATGGAACAGTCATGAATTACCGCGCAGGGAGTTTGCTTCGTAGAAGTAATAAAGAATCTTTCCATAACTGGTAATACTGCTTACCCGTATCAATGAAGCCAACTATTACATTTGCTTGGTTTCTGGTGTAGTGCCCAAAAATCTTCATGTTTTCGTCGTCTGGAAGTCCCATAAAATCCCACGAATGAGTTGTGTGCAGAATTCTCTTAGAATTGGGGAAAACAGAGACTACTCCGGGCATATCTGTCAATATTAAAGTAGATTACAGAAGCAATTTTTTTTTGAGCGTTAAAGAGTGATTACATATGTTAAAAGTAAAAAGAAAGAGAAATAAAAGAAATTACCAGAAATTTGGGAAGCTTGATCATCCGTCAACTTGGCTGCGAAGCCTCTGAAGCCGTGTCTGTAGCTGTAAACATGGGAAGCTTGTGCCTCCTCAACACTGCTCAACGTTTCCAATAAGGAAAAAGTAGAAAATCAAGCATCTGAAATACAAGAGAAGGGCATAGAAAACTTTTCAGAAAAGGGAAAAATAGCAAAAACTCTGACCTCCCTCTGTGAACAGAAGTGAGCATTTGATGGTGTTGCTTCAGAATATGATCAGGATCTTCGCTAGTTTTGCTTCCCATGTAAACTACATAAACCTGCCATTCAGTCCAACACTAAGTCATCCCCAAAACCAGAACGGAGCAGTTAGAATTTGATTCTACCTTAGATGAGAAGCAAAATCTAGTTTCTGCAGAAATAACCGCAAGAAACAGGCAAGCGATGGCAGTACGGCTTCCAGCACAACCAGAACAAAACATATTGGAAGACGAACAAATCAAGGAGAACCAGTATGTATAACAAAAGATGAAACAAATAGCAGAAATTGGCAATCAATTTAAGCGTGGGAGGAGAAAAGACCAAGCCATTTTTTCAATGCAAAAATCAATAAGGTAAGCAACCAGGACGCAGATTAAAAACGTGGAGTCCTATGATGGCAGAGTTTGGGGCGTAAGACGGACGAGTGTCTGTTGCTTTTGTAGGAGGCCAAGTAACCGCAAAGCCCTACGGAATAAAGATGTGTTTTGGGCTAGGACTGAACTAGGCCACTGTGATCCTCCGGAACCGGGATTCTTTTCTGATCTCAAGAAACGATGATTGATACCTTAATCAATTCTTTTGCCAGCGTGTTACAAATTAATTATTAGTTCGTAGAAATAATAAATTATGAAAGTTTATATATCAAATTGGATTTACGAAAAATTACATCACTCAAATAGATGAAGGACACAAAATTTACAATCAAACTAAGGACCAAATTAAAAACAGTGAATTCTACCATAATGAAGCAAAAAAGAATCCTCATATGTTACCAAAAATCACAGTTGGAAAATTGAAAATTAGGAGGAAACGATGATGAATTGATGATGCGATGTAAGTGGAGACGTAATCAGGACTGATATTCAAACTAACTATTACTTAATTGGAATTAGAATATATGGCTTCTCCTTTTCACTGATCATACGAATACTAGGCCATATGGCATATGCCATTCACTGAATTTTTCTTGGCTGCGTATGAGCGTGATCGATTCTACCGGTTTTGTTGCTCACCTCGGCTCAGCTCGGATCTTGCGTCGCTGCATTCTCTTTTCCCTTTATCGCATCCTCTTACTTAAAGCACGGACTCTGCGATGGATTTCGAAATGTTGCGCGAAATTCCAGATACTGGCAACACCTTCCTGAACACGGAAGATAACTTGGTCCGCAGTGAAATCAACTGAGGAAAGATTGCTCTTAATTCCATGTCGCATCCTCTGAGGAGTTCTATCTCTACTGAGCTCTGGACCAAACGCTTTGCCATTGAAACTCGATTCATTTCCCCAGAGCATTCTTCCAAGTTCAAAGCAGCTCTGTTCAATTAATCAGCAGCTCCTTCACTAGTTGAAGAAACAACCCCGTGGAACTCAAAAGCATTGGAAATTTGGAATGCACAAGACCAGTGTGAGGAATCCATGTGGAAAACGGTCAGAAAGGGGGCACGCAGAGAGACGTTTTGATGGGCATCCGCCTCTGGTCGGTGCTGGGGGGCACTGACATAGATCATTCGATGGTGGAGTGTGGGAACGTATAAAAATAACCAGCATTTTTCCGCAAAAGACAAATTTTTTTATATATTTATCTTTTATACTATAAAAATATTTTTAAAATTATATCATCCAAATACTTTTTAATTATATTTGGAATCCTCTAAATTTTAAAAAAAATTTATATATCTTCTTAATAATAAATTTACATTTTTTAAAAAAATAACACTTAGAATAAATTTAAAATTAATTATTTATACTTTACATTTAATTATTTTTTCAGCAATTGCATTGAATTGGTTTAAATTTTTATTGCAAAAGTGGCAAGCTAGGTTGGCTCACAAGGAACAGGGCTAATGTGAAATTCATTAAAAAGGCTGGACTCAAGATAAATTTTGACATTTTGTCATCCTAACCAAATTAGAGTGGGTTGGGGAATTGAAGTAATTTACATTTTTGCCAACTCAAACTTTTTATTTGCGAGTTCAACTTATAACACCGGCTCTATTTCATGATAAGTATTTCAGACTTATATTTGATACGAGTATTGTATTATTTTATTTATGTTTGATATAATTTGATTCTTTTTTTTTAATAATCAAATTTAAGTGTGAACATTTTATTTCAAGTGAAGAGACCATTAATCATTGGATTGAATTTAATAATTTAAGGGTTAAGGTCCATCCAGCACCCCTAAGTATTTTGTCAAGTGCACTCAGTGGCCTAAAATAATTTATGGTGCAATTTTGCCCTCAAAGTAATAAAAATGGTGCACTGGTATCCCATGCTAACAGATCTGTTACTTTGACCGTTAAATTGATGAGTCAGCACAAGTTTGACCAAAATAATCTGACGTGGTGTGTCTAATAAGCAGGTGATGTGGAATTTTTTCGGGGTTAAGGTGCATCCAGCACCCCCAAGTATTTTTCCAAGTGCACCCAGTGACCTAAAGTAATTTATGGTGCAATTTTACCCTCAAAGTAATTAAAATGGTACATCGGTATCCTATGCTAACAAATCTGTTACTTTGACTGTGAAATTGATGAGTCAACACAAGTTTGACCAAAATAATCTGACTTGGCATGTCTAATAAGCAGGTGATGTGCAATTTTTTTCGTCTGCCACTGCTTTGTTTTCTCTGTTCAGTAAATGCTCTCTTTGGCTCTTGGAATTTTTTTCAGAGTAAGAAATTTTTTCAGAGATACTCCTTTGGTCCTATTTATAGGGTAGAGAGAGAAGATATTTTTTAGTCCTATTTATAAGGCACTGAGAGAAATTTTTTGTATGAATGTACAAATTTACCCCTCATTTATTATTGTATTGACTTTATTTATATGGGGTATATATTAAATAGGGATAAAGTTGAAAAGTTATTAAAATTTAAATGAGAGTTAATGAAATTTAAGGTTTTCCTTGGTCTGTGTGAAACATGCTGGAAGTGCCTTATAAATAGAACCAAAGGAGTAATATTCAGACAAAACAATGGAATTAACAAGAAAAGCCATGTCACCTGTTTATTAGACATGCTAGGTCAGATTATTTTGATCAAACTTGTGCTGACTCATCAATTTCACAGTCAAAGTAACAGATCTGTTAGCATATGATACCGGTGCACTATTTTAATTACTTTGAGGGCAAAATTGCACCATAAATTACTTTAGGTCACTGGGTGTACCTGGAAAAATACTTAGGGGTGCTGGATGCACCTTAACCCCAAAAATTCCACATCACCTGCTTATTAGACATGCCACGTCAGATTATTTTGGTCAAACTTGTGCTGACTCATCAATTTAACGGTCAACGTAACAGCTCTGTTAGCATGGGATACCAGTGCACCATTTTAATTACTTTGAGGGCAAAATTGCACCATAAATTACTTTAGGCCACTGGGTGCACCTGGCAAAATACTTGGGGGTGCTGGGTGCACCTTAACCCATAATTTAAATGTAACAACTCTCCCTAGCATCTTGACATAACAATTCTTAAACCTTTGAAATTGAACCAAGTATGATTAAGTTTTGATAAATGATACTTTATTAATATTTTTCATCTAATCTCACAGTTTCTTTCTCTCTTTTTCCTTTTTTTCTTTAAAAAAATTCTGTCTTTCTGATTTGTGTGCCAATTGCGCATTGTTACAATTTTATCAGATTTTATGATAAAACATCAGGGTATCCACTGGCGGACCCAGTGATTAATCCCTTCGCTGGCTTATAGGCACCTCGATGGGTGGGACAGCTGGCCTGGGGTCAATTTTATCAGATTTTGTCATATCAAATGTTATCCTAGAAGCCAATTGCAATTAATAAAACCCTATTATACCTAGTGTGGCTGGTGCGCAATGAACATGTGCCCGTTCTTATATTCTTCTCCATTTCTTTCAATAGAAGCCAGGTATTTTATTGCACAATTTAATATTGATAATTAGAAGGATCTATTGTTAAAAGTTTAAAGCTGATAATTTATAATTGGGAAAAATTAATTTGAATCTTTTACGCCTTATAATAAAAAGGTTAAGAAAACATCACAGTGCTCCTATTCTAGACATTGCTTATGGGCGCTTTATACGTAACTTGTGATTAACTTAATTATATCATTAATTAATTCCAAGTGCAATGTGAGTTGGAAAAAATATAATAAAGTATATATTTGGTTTTTTTATCTTTATAAAAGGTTTTGTTTTAGTCTCCTAATTTTAAAAAAGTGTATTTTTAGTGTTTTTAGCTTAAAATTATTAGTCTTAAATGATGATTTTTTTTTTGTAACAATCATAGTGGTTTTGAAATTTAAACTTAATATGTTAGCATTTAAAAAAAATTTTATTGACACTCAAGATCCCAATATCATTATTTTTTGTTAACCATTTTAAGATTAAAGGACTGAAAGTATACTTTTTAAAGTTAATGGACCAAATTGAAACCTTATGTAAAGCTAATTAAAGGACTAAAACTACATTTTAGCCTAAAAAAAAATAAAAAGAGTAGGGTTATAGTCATCCGCAACCCTGCATCATCTTCCATGAATATAAACAAGTAACTTATCCTCAGATTTACATTCTTTTTCCCCTCAAAGAAATAAAAGGAGTTTTAAAAAAATAATTGAACAAGCCTTGATTGTTGTTTATTCTCAAATTAATTATTAGAGACATGTAATCCAAAGCTATACTCATTATATTGTTGATCAAAATATGAGTTTTATTATAAAATATCAAAATCTGAAAAATACAAACCTTTTTACCATTTAAAATTTTTAATCTATCTATCTCTTCAACTATAACCTCATATTATGATAAAGAACTTGTACTATTATCATTTTCATGTTAATTAGCTACATTACTTTGATAAACTATACATGCCTTTGGTTATATGGGTAATATATTATTTTTGAACTAGCATTTGATATATGGACTTTTTGACAATCATTCATCTAGTGATCAAACTTCTTAGCACCAATCGGATATGAATCCTTGTATTAGATATGAAACCTTGAAGTGAGAGAATTCAGGGCTTTTTTTTTTTTCCGAAAAAGAAAATTTTCAAGCGAACAGAAAGAAAGATCCTATAGAATATTAATGAATTCCACTTGTTACATATAGATCCCACAAGGTGAAACTCGTCATTTATGGTTTTATTTTCTCTTTATCATGATAAAGTTACAAGTATAAGAGAAAAATAAGGAAAAAAATTATGCCAAGTATAATTTTAAAAGTGATAATTAAGATTATATTTCTCTTTTTATTCTTTGTTTGTCCTTTCCCAGCATTGAGAAAATGAAATGTTTTCGAATATTGGACCGCAAGCACATATTTCTCAATCACGTCTCCTTTATGTTAGCTAGAAACTACTATTATCACAAATACTATTTTAGAAAAAAATGAATAAATATTAGAAACAAAGTGGATT